AATTTTATTTCACCATCCTGTCCTAAGGCTACAATGAAGTCCATTTCCTGGTTGAAGAAGATGAGGGAAAATGCGCCAAATTCACACTTGAGTGGGTTTAAATCTTGGCCTGCGCCCATATGTTTCATCAATATGCAAACTTTCCTCTGTGAAATGCATAATAAATTCGTTTTCGAGGATTGGCAAGGAAAATAGATAAACAGTAGAAACAGACCATGAATAAAGAAATAAACAGCTTGTTGGATTTGTTTTTAAGCATTCAAAGACCCCGACAGTTTTATCTTTATTATCCATATAAATATCGTCTATAATCACTCTGAGATGGAATAAAATACCAATACGAATTGCATTATGCAACGTCTAGACATAAAGGTCGAGTCCCTGGGGACTTGGATCACGATAATGCCGATAATACTTTACCGATGACCAGATTTCAAGTAAAGTTTACTATAAAGAACCAATTCCGACATTCAGAAATGATTTTCGGTGACTGATGTGTCAGATGTGATCATTCACAAAGGAAAGGCCAGCACACAAAAAAAATTACAGTTCCTCTCTCAGCTCTCTTTATGTTCATGTGACCTTTGTAAAAGTTCGTTCCCTATTTTGGCGCATGCGGAGTGTGCAATTACGAACTCGCTTATGGATAAAAGAACATCATAATCAGATTATCCGACCCCTGAAACCCAATGAATTCATCAACTTTTATCATACTATCCCATTTCCTTTCATAACTATACTTGACCTGTAACTCAGATGGCGGCCATTTTGGATTTGACCAATATGACCAGTAAGGCAGCCCCAAGGAGACCTCAAATCAATGAAAGAACATCAAAATCAGATTCTCTGACCCCAAAACCCAATAAATATATAAACTATAATCATACAAGCGCTTTTCATTTTGGAACTACGCTTGACCTTTAACTCAGATGGCGGCCATTTTGGATTTGCCCAATATGGCAGTCCCAGAGAGCGCCCTTCTTGGCGTCCGACAGAAATCGTTATAGCATGGTATAATCTACCTCTGGGGCAAATGTTGTGCTTTTAGAAGAATCTGCACCAAAATATCCCTAACAGCCCCCACTAATACAAGTATAACTAGACATATAATACTTGTTTGGAACAAGTATAGGTGGGCTGGTCAACTTAAATTTGAGACAAAATAGAGCAAAAATAAGTGAGATACTGCTTAAAATTTTTTAAAAAACAATATCATGTAGTTTCATGACGTGAACGAAATTCACCTTCTATAGGGATAACGCAAATTATGAAGGCCTTTTGACATGAGGCCTTTAATCGAGATTTTCACTATGATGACGTCATCAAAATGAAAAATGGTTATTACTAAGCTTGTAGAAAGTTTTCTTAGCTACAACATATCGAAATTTTGAAGAAAATTGATCAATATTTACAGAGATACCATCAATTTTCCATAAATATGCTGACGTCATAATATGCAAATTCGTATTTTGAGTTCCAAGGCCATTGTGATGATGTCACGATACAATTAATGGCCAAATGAGACATGAAATCATATCTCCGACTCATACTCTATCTAAATATGAAAACAAATTGAGGATCCCGGTGCATTCCAAAGAGCTATAATGGATTTTGTATAGGCATGTTTTTGCCAATATATGCTATGTAATATAAGAGCTCGCGCGCACGGACGTTTATCTTGAATGGACGCTCATCTTAAAATTAATGGTCATAAAGAGATGAACAAAGTATCAAATTGTTTGAAAAAATATGGGAATTATCATGAAAGAAAAAAAAATTGGCGATTCTTTGTTATGTAATGGTGTTACGCGCGAAAACGCGCGCGTATGCGCGTGTGCACGATTTTGTATAAAATGCTTAAAATGACCTGAAACGTATGCAAAAAAAATTTGAGACGATTTTGAGCATTTTGAAATTTTGCGCGCATACTGACGCGCGCGTTTTTTTAACTGAAATTGACCGGACGGATATTGACCTTGATCATGATAAATATGAATGTGAAATTAATTTTGGTTATGAAGATATGATCGTGAGTTGATTTTCGTAAAATTTTAACAAATGGCGCCTAGATGACGTCATCAGTGAAGGTCAATGTTGAAAACGATATTGTACTTTGTACATATGCCTATACATAATATGTATTATTATTATTTGGCACACATATTATGTGTGCCAAATTTGAAGGCATTTGATTAAGCCATTTTCAAGTAATCGTGCTTACAAAAAAGTGGTTTGAAATAAGTAAAATAAATAATAAAGGCAATTCTAACGAAATTGTAAGGTGGTCTGTACGATATACATCCCACCTGATAATAAAGGCAATTTTAACAAAATTATAAGGTGGTCTGTATTAGATACAGCCCACCTGATAAATAAATAAAGGTAATTCTAACGAAATTATGAAGTGGTCTGTACGATATACAGCCCACCTGATAAATAAATGAAGGTAATTCTAACGAAATTATAAGGTGGTCTGTACGATATACAGCCCACCTGATGAATAAATAAATAATAAAGGCAGTTCTAACGAAATTATAAGGTGGTCTGTACGATATACAGCCCACCTAACAATAAAGAATAATAAAGGCGATTTTAACAAAATTATAAGGTGGTCCGTATAAGATACAGCCCACCTGATAATAAAGGTAAATCTAACGAAATTATAAGGTGGTCTGTACGATCTACAGCCCACCTGATAATAAATAAATAAATAAACAAAGGCAATTCTAACGAAATTATAAGGTGGTCTGTACGATTTACAGCCCACCTGATAATTACAAAAATAACATTAGTAACACCACCAACCATAATAATAATTGTTGTCATTATTATTGTGATACTGCTTCTAGTACTACTCCTACTACATGTACTAGGAAGAAGGAGGGGAAGAGGAAGAATCTTATTGTTTATTTTTTGTATTATCGAGGCATACAAATGCACAGGGAGGTAAGAGAGGGAAAAGTAAGGCGACGAAGAGGGAGAGAGAGGGAGAGAGAACGAGAGAGGGTAGCCTATGGCCCGGGTTCAAATTCAGTTCTCTTTAATTTATTTGACCCAGTACTGATGATCATAATTTTATCTACCATGTGATTGCCATGTGTACGCCACACCGAATAGCACTAGCTCACATTTTGTTATTGTTGTCAAGAACTTATTGGCATGCAGCCAGTAGATTTTCATCATGTGTTTGATCTTGTATTGAAAAAAAGATCAAACACATCATCATAATCTACAGAGTGCAACCAACATTTTTGTTAACAACAATTGAAATTTCTTTCAGGAAGCCTATACACTAAAAGCTGTTTTTGATTCAAAGAGCATCGTAGAGACAATGAACAAATAATAATAATAATACATTCACTTCTATTTTCCCCGCCAAATAATCCGAACAAAAGAATCAACCGAGAGTAATAAACTGTTAAAAGAATTTATCACGAGTCCTTGAAAAATTAAATAATACTGCTTGTCAAATAATATTGAAGAACAGCAAAATCGAACGCGATTGTCGCTACAATTCAGAAATCATTGCTTGCATTGCTTTTCTCTCAAAATTACCGTGAGATATCAAGCTACATAGAACTATGATCGACAAAAAAAATATTGTCTTGAAAACAGTCAGAAACATTAGAACTCGAATGAATAAAACATAATGCAAATGAATAAGACTAAAATGAATAGGACACAAGTTCATTTCTACCATTTAAATCATCACGTACCAAATACCTAAGCAAAATTCGAACCAGATGCATTTAATGGTAAGCTTAAAGACAATGATTCATGACAATTGTAAATTGTCGTGAGTTTATCGTCTATATAGACGTATTGCAAAAGATAATTTATTTATTTATTTATTTATTAAAACATCTTTTAACAGGATTACATTAATCAGCTCGCAGGCTGTTTTACATAATGGTCCTGCATAAGAATGGAAAATACAAATACAGACTGACATTAAGAGTAGTTACAAACAAAATAGCAGTTTTATACAAATGGTAAAAAAACGAAAACAACACAAATAGGAGTTAGCCCTGCTATTTTGCAGGGTTAGTTAACCCCGTATTATAGGTGGGGTTAGCCAACTTTAGCCCACTTTGGTAAAAACCAGTCTGAACAGAAATAGTGGAATAGGCTTAACCCCGTATTATAGGTGGGGCTAAGACCCCCCCCCCCCCTTAACCCCACCTATAGTACGGGGTTAAGCAAAATATTGCCAGCGTGAAAACAGATATTTTCTTTAAATCATTTTTAAATTAACTTTTTTATATTCAATTTTTATTCCAACTTATTTTGTTATCTTCCCCCTTTTATCATGTGCAATATTCTATGTATAGATTTTTTGATTATGTACTGGGAGTAGCATGTGTGGGGGCACATGCCTCCGGGCAACAGTGATGAACTTCACTTTTGTGCAGTACCCTCACCCACTTGCTGCTCCCTATTATGTACTTGTCTCTTGCTATGCTATATTGTAGTTGTGCTTTTTATATATGAATGGTTGAATAAATAATAATAATAATACTAATAATAATAATAACTCGTCTCTACCTCCCAGTGCATGCAGGAATACTTTCATAAATTTGAATGTAAACCAGTCTATTCCAAGCTAGTAGATAGATAGTACAAATAACCAAAATTTAAAAGAAAACCTGTCTTGGTTCGATCAATTGTCGAGATAGATTTTGCACGCGATCTTTTCAAGTCGAGAAGGCAATTGGAAGTTGCTTAGTTCCATTTAAACCATTTGTTGACAAGTTGCATGCATGTCACATGCATGCATGGCATACAATTATCATGATTTAATTGACAAATTATATACCACCAATATCACCATCGCGCGCGCGTTCGCGCACGTATTAACATGGTATTGTTCACGATGTTTACATATTGATGTGCGATAAATCTTAGCCATCATTATGGTTGACCGTGTGTGCAATTACCCATACTCTGTAAAATCATGGCGAAATTACACTGTAAGTCTGTGGAAATATTCGCAATTTTTGCATCAACCTTCAGTTTACAACCATTACAATTAAATGTCGTAGCTAGTTAGTCTAGTATTTTGACAAGTAGCATTCATGCATTGCTCCGCGAAGCTCCGTTGAGTCGTAACGCCCGGCGGCGGCCAAGACGGTACTGCCTAGCCTGCACTTGAGCTGTGTAGCGGGTATAAAGTTACCCGACAGAGCAGAGCTCTTCTTCCCACTCCCAGACCCGATGGCGATGTCGATGGGAGGGAAGGGCCGGGGATCCGGGACGTCGATTGCTGCTGGGCTGAGCTGGGGTTAAGTTGAATCATCTCGAAGATAAACTTGAGTTCTGGTAAAAAAAGAAAATGAATTCTCACAGAATCTAACGAAACTCACACTGAATGTTCAATATTACAAATATTAAATAAATGTCATGTGCCAAACAATTTTAGAAGAAAATGTAAAGAGGTCTACTGGCTGAGTAATGAGCATAGAAAGATAAGGAAATCAGGGTAGTACTAGCCCCGACACCATGTGTGTTGTCCCATATACATCTTTCTGTGTAAGTGATTGTTATTTTACCAAGACTCTGCCAAATTTATGATGATTTTGATGACTCCAGAACCTTGCATTACACACCATTACTTGCATGCTATATGATCAACCTTTCTGATCCATTCCACACCTTTTCTTTCACAATGCAATCGCATTACCAGAACTCAAGTTTATCTTTGATCTTTACTTTACTTTACTTTACTTTAAAACACGATGTTGTAGGTCTAAGCCTGTTCATCGATCCAGGATTCTTCCGTGATTACTGCTATTTTGTGGAGGGAGGAGGTTGTGTAATAACATGAGACAATAGACAACACCTAGACCGGCTCATACAGAAGGCTTACTGGTACACTCTTTGACCAGTGACTATCAAGTCTATTCTTAAAAGAGTTTACCGACCCAGCTGCCACAACGTTTTCTGGGAGACCGTTCCACAGTTCCACGACTCTATTGCTAAAAAAGTATTTTCTTATATCTAGCCTTGAATATTTCTTTTCAAGTTTTCTAGAGTGACCTCGAGTTCGATCTTCTGTACTCATCTTAAAGGGCATCTCTTGCACAGTGTACAAGCCATTCACGTACTTATACACATCGATCATGTCCCCCCTTTTACGCCTGTGAACAAGAGTTGGTAGTTTGAGTTTGGTCAAGCGCTCCTGGTATGTTAAATTTCTAAGGCCAGGAATAATCTTTGTTGCACGTCTTTGTACGCTCTCCAACATTCTCTGTTCTCCTAATCTGTATGGGGACCATGCGGCTTGTCCATATTCTAAAATGGGCCTAACGAGGCCTTTAAACAAAAACGGCATAGTATCAGTATTGAGGTACATAAATGTCCTACGGATAACTCCAAGTACTCGATTCGCTTTGAGAACTGTTTGGGAAATGTGATCTTTAAATGATAGTTGTGAATCTACTAGGACACCTAGGTCCTTTTCTACTTTTGTAACAGATAGTGTTACAGAGTCTGTCCCCTTTTTCATACAATAGTCTGTAGAGGCTTCTGCCGGTAACTTCCCAAGCCTTAAAACAGTACACTTATCAGGATGAAAGCAAAGCTGCCATTTCTCAGCCCATTCTTCCATACGTGACAGATCCTCTTGAAGTTGCTTTCTTAAATCTGCAGTATCAGCACGGACATACAACTTTGTGTCGTCTGCAAACATCGAAATATTTGAGTTGACAACTTTTGGAAGGTCATTGACAAATAGCAAAAATAAACATGGACCCAACACACTGCCCTGCGGCACTCCACTCAGGACTTTGCCCCACTTAGACTGCTTGCCTCTGACCACTACTCTTTGCTGCCGTCCACTCAGAAAAGACTCTAACCATGCAAGTACATTCCCACGAACTCCATACGATTCTAATTTGAGAAGCAGTCGGTGGTGAGGCACCGTATCGAACGCCTTCATGAAGTCCAAATATATGGCATCTACTGTGCCTCCATCATCCAAAATCTGTGTCCACTGGTCCAACACTTCTAAAAGATTGGTGATGCAAGACCGACCAACTACAAACCCATGCTGGTGAACTGAAATCAAATCATTCGTCATAAGATGGTCAAGCAATTGCTTACGCATAAGATTCTCCATCATTTTACAAATAATGCTTGTTAGACTAACTGGCCTATAATTTTTACTATCACTTTTGTTACCTTTCTTGAAAATCGGGGTAACATTTGCAGATTTCCAGTCCTGGGGTAACTGTTTACTTTCAAGACTCTTTTGGAACAGCAAAGAAATCGGTAGAGCTAACACATCTGCTAGTTCTTTTAGTAGACGGGGATGTATTTTGTCAGGCCCCGGAGATTTATTAGGCTTAAGTCTACGCAATAATTCAAACACATCTCCTGACGTAATCTGTATGTCGTCTAGTGGAGTGTCAAATTCAACATCTAAAGGAGAGGAATATCTTGTAAATCTTCCTGGGTGAAAACTGAAGAGAAGAAATCTTGCAAAACCTCAGCCTTCTCCTGATCCGTTTCTGTTTTACTCCCATCAGGTTTGGTTAAATTACAGACACTTTCCCGAGTTGTTATTTTTGAGTTTACATATGACCAGAAGGCTCTTGCATTCTTCTTAACTCCTGAGGCTATATATTTCTCATATGAACTCACCGCCTTCCTACACTGCCACCTTGCTTGGTTGCTGGATCTACTATAACAACGTCTTTGCTGTTCAATTTCTGCACTAGAATACTTTTCCCGATTTTTTTCGCTTTTCATCTCTTGCCACTTTCTGAAATGTCTATGTTTTTCTCTAACCACTTCCAGAGTCTCTCTGTTCATCCAATGTTTTTTCCTCTGACTTACGTTTAGTGTTTTCTTTGGTGTATAACGATTAAAGATGTCTAACAGTGTAGTTTTGAAGAAAGACCATGATTTTTCCATGGACATCTCCCAAAATTCATTATTCCAATCAATTTCCATAATCTTATCATACATTGCATCATAGTCTGCTTTATCATAAATGTATCTTGTTTCTCCAGTTTTGGCGCCTTGGCCTCTTATTTTCATGTCAAAAATCAATGTATAATGATCACTTCTGCCAAGACTGGCAGAGGTTGTAATATCTGCAATAGCATGTTCATTAGCTGTAAAAACCAAGTCTAAGACATTGGAACATTGGCCACTACGGTGCCGTGTAGGCTGAACTTGGTGCTGTACTAGGAAAGCATCTTTAGTGCTCTCAATAAATTTATGAGCTGGATGCTCTACACCCTTTGTACAAGATTCTAATCCCCAGTCTATGTCTGGAAAATTAAAATCCCCAATTAACAAAACATCCTGAAAGGTACTCTGACCCACTTCTTGGAAAAGTGCACACAACCCATCATTTACACGGTTATCTGCGTTTGGACTTCTATAAAAAAGACCTACAAGGAGTTTACCACCTTCCTGAAAATCAACTGTGGCAAAAACTGCTTCTTTGAAGCTACTAACAGAAAAACTTGTATAGGCCTCTGCTTTGAGGCTCTTACATATATACAAACAAATCCCACGGCCATTTTCGTAGAGATTATGAAAAATATCGAAACTATCTAGCTTCACTTCAGCTACTTCAACATTGTAACGTAAATTCTTTGGCTTAACTTCTGTAATGCCAATTATATGTGGTTTATACAAAGTAATGATTGATTTAAATTCATCTCTTTTATTCAATAATGAATCTACATTTGCATAAATGCACTTGAGTTTATTAAGTTTACAACCTACTGGTTGATTTCTGGGAAGTCTTCGCGGCTCTCCAGGTCTTTTGCTTGTTCTACGGGTGTTTTGTTTGTCTTTCTTCTCACATTTGTTTCCATTCTCTTTGCTTGTGCTGCTTCTATATATGTCCCGATGTTGGTCACCCTTCCCCTCCTTCTCACCCACTGTGCATTCATATCCCCTTGACGGGCTGACTCTCCCTTTTTTTCCTGCAATTCCATGTATAAGTTTTTTTCTTCCTCTCTTTGGATCGGGGTTAAGTCTCTACGAATAACAACTCTCTTTGTGTTAACAAATTGTTTTAGTCGCGGAGCTGATTTTATGATCGAGTCCCTTTCTTTGACTGTTTCGGTGCTAACTCTAAGGGGGCGTGGTTTGCCAGCGGCCGTTTCCCTGCTGTATTTCCCCAAACGTCTAACGTCTATGATCTTAGTGGGTGGAGCATCAATCTGTGTGAGTATTGCCTGAAACAAGTTAGTATCTTCCTCTTTCCTAATCTTATCATCTATGCTATCACTCTCCTGAACGTTGAAAACCACAGCATTTAGTTTTCTTACCTCTCTCTCTTCCATTTCACTCACACAGAGTCCAACATCTTTGTTTGCATTTGTTTGTCGGTCCACTTTCAGCGAGTCCAAATCAGATTTGACTGCAGTGAGTTGTGTCTGGATGGAAACAACCTCAGACCTATCAGCCTTTTGGTCAATTTTGCCTATCAGGAGTTGTATATTGGTTGTAAACATTTCCATAGCCTTGTCTAACTTATTCTCAATGCTGGCAAGTCTATCAATGCCAGTTGGAAGCTGCGCCTGAGCCAAAGGATCTTTTAAACACCTGGGGCACTTCCACTGTATCTCAGGCTTAGATAATAACTTCTTTTCAGTTTTGTTGTATGGTAAACACTTGAAACACATCCATCCACCACATAAACCACACTCTAACATGTCAACCTTTGTGGAGTCCTTGTACACAGAGTTACATGGGCCAATGCATGCTGTTCCATCTGAACTCACTGAAAGTGAAGCATTGCCGTTGGGCTGCAACACCGATATTGTATTGTCAGCCCTACCAGTTTGGCTCTGAGAATCAGTCTGGGAAATTATCAGCAAATCGTCACTGATATTACTTGCAGCCATGATTTTTTTTTTTTAATTACAAAATTTAGATCTAAAATCCTCTTTATATAGACTAGACTAGACACTCTACTTCTTAATTAATTTAATCAATTAAGTACAACCAAGCACAGGAGCTAGTAAATAGCCAACAGTGGATAGTCAACAGACAGACACACACAGTACACTGCATGTGCACTGACACTATCATCCACACACAACAACCTAATTAATACACAGACCAAAGTCAAAAAGATGTCACAAACTCAAACTTCCAGAAGCATGTCTGGGACTATGGGGTCTGGAGAAATCAAGATGGCTGCCAAGGACTTTCAGCTTGATCCAAATGAAAAACTTCTGAATCACTTCAATTGAGCATCAATCCAACTCACAAAAATCCATGAAATTATGCTGGGATATCAAAATAGCTGCTGAAACACACAAATTCCTGTAAAAGCTTGAAAATAAGGTGATATTTTAGCAAATTATCTAGAGCAAGGCCCTAGGGTGTCTTATCTCAATCACAACCTCCTATGTTGGTTTTACATAGGTGACATGGTCTATGTCTTAGTTTTATATCAGTGCTTAACTTGAGTCCAAACTGATTAAGTAAGTTGGTTTTAAATCAACAGAAGCAAACAAAATGAGATAAACAGGCAGTGAAAGTCTGAGCAAAAAACTATTGAAATAAGAAAGTTATTAATTTGTTGAAATTTTAACTTGATGGTGCGATCAATCACGCACAAATTGTCAGCTCTGAGACGTACAATGTATCTCTGCAATTTGCCTGATGAGTGCCAGAGTGATACAAATCGAATCTTGATGGTTTGGGTCATGTGGAACTTTGTATTTCTTAAAAAAATAAAAGGGTGCTATGACTACCGGTATATAAAAAAAGGTTGAATAACGCTGGTGTACCTTATAGGCCTACTAATGCTACATAGGAGTACAATAGAGTACTGAAGCTGTGACATCGTAAAAATCTATTTTTGGAATTTCTCAATTTTTTCTTCATTTTCAGAAAGAGCATCAAAAATAATGTCCAAATGTCGAAAACCAATTTGAATATGTGTATTGGCTGAGATATGAGCATCTGAATAAATAGATTTCCTATAGGACTGACTCGGTGTTGTAGGCCTATTGCTCTGACTCGTAATGTTATGCAATACAAGTTATAACACTTGAGTTCCCACAGGAAATCTTTTTATTCAGATGGTCAAATCTCAGCCAATAGTTTACCTATTCAAATGGTTTTCGACATTTGGACATTTTGATGCTCTTTCGTAAAATGGAGAAAAAGTTGCGAAATTCCCAAAACAGATTTTTTTTTTTTAATGACGTCTACGTCACACTTCACCATTCTATGGAGTATGGACCCTTTTATTTTTTTGGAACAAATTTTACATTGTAAATGACTTGAAATTGTGTTCTGTATATCTGTTGATCATTAAAGAAAATTATGATGAATAATGCCATGGTGCATATTTTAATGAAATAAAAGAAATAACAGCTTTGTGTCTTGTTTAGACACACATTATTGCAGATCAGTGGATCATTCTTACACTGTGATTGTAAATCACCAGGTCAGAGTTTGTAACATTATTGCGGATCAGTGGATCTTTAATGATTGTAAATCACCAGGTCAGAGTTTGTAACATTATTGCGGATGAGTGGATCTTTAATGATTGTAAATCACCAGGTCAGAGTTTGTAACATTATTGCGGATCAGTGGATCTTTAATGATTGTAAATCACCAGGTCAGAGTTTGTAACATTATTGCAGATCAGTGGATCTTTAATGATTGTAAATCACCAGGTCAGAGTTTGTAACATTATTGCGGATCAGTGGATCTTTAATGATTGTAAATCACCAGGTCAGAGTTTGTAACATTGCGGATCAGTGGATCATTCTTACACTGTAATTGTAAATCACCAGGTCAGACAGAGTTAGTATGCACAAAGTAGTTTGGTCAACACGGGTTGTAATTTTGACAAGAAAATTGTTAAATTAAAGGTTTTAATTTCACTGATCCAAGTGGTTATTTGTTTAATTTACTTTAGCTTTCCACTCCGTTATGCTTCAGTGCACTCCTGACCTACATTCATTCTCTCATGTCTGCTAGCTCTTGGCTTCTATTGTTCTGTCCCTATTCATTCATCTTCATGCACATTACCTGCCATAGCACCACACACACACGCACACACACACGCACACACACGCACACCCACACACACACACACTCTTCCTATCTCTTAGCTATTCAACCCGGCACACTATAGGCACATGGCACTCTATCTTTAACAAGCTTTTCTATTGGTTACTTATTGTCCAATCTTGTGATTGGTTATTATTGTTTGATGGACTGCATGCCAGCCATCTTGGCAGCCATTTTGTGGTTGTATTAAAATCTAACAGTGCAGCTCAAGTCATCAAACATGTCCTTACAGTACATCATTAAGTTGAGCTTTTTAAAAACAATGCGCTTTACGGTATACATATATACTCTCAATCATGAATTTACCATCCACTAAACATGTTCATAATCTACTACTTCACAGTGCAGTGTTTAATTAACATCATACTTATTAAAAAATGTACTCAGTATGAAAACATCAGTTATGTAACAAAAAGTCATTGATTGAATTAACTTTTCCATTTATCATCTATTTTAACTCTCTTTGTGTAATATGCAGGTTCTTTATGCATAAGGAGATATAGTTTGTGCATAAGAGGACTCTTCAATCTGCCTCAACGACCATACTCTAGCACAGTACCCATAGGGCCTAACCGAAGCACCATCATGCAAAGCAACACTGCACCCCAGCCCCAGGCCACTAAAGCAAAGGCCTCTTCCCTCCTTAATGGTGATGTTGGAGGTACAATAAAGGGATCCCATGATGTCAAAGAGCCTGGGCCTGGGGCTGCTCAACAGTGGAAGGAGGGGGTTGGAATGAGAGAAGGCGAGGAGAATTTCTTGAGGAATTTCTTTGAGCTGATATTAGAAGAGGGCATCTCAAAGCCTCTTGGTGCAAAATGCAAAGGTGAGCTTACATTTATAGATATTCAGAAGTGAAGTAGTGGAAGCTCTGGGAGCTGTTGGTTGGTTGTTTTTTAATTTATAATTGTTAAATTAAAAAAGTAATCTTACAGGCATTAAAAAGGTTATTTCTTGATATGCCTCTAGTGATGATAAGTAAATTGTTTATTTTTAAAAGTATGTTAGCAGAAAGGGTAAATACTGAGGGCCTAAAGCAGAATCTTCCATTAGTATCAAATCGAGAGGGCCCAGGCAATAATGCAAGCTTAACAAATTTTCTTCTTATACATGCAATGGTATATATATGTTGTGAAGCTGTAGTAATTCATTGAGTTTCATAAAGTTCACCACTTATACATGTAGATGATCATTTATGGTGCGACTGTGCAAGGAATAAAATGCTAACAATATTGATGGATTGCAAGTCACATGCAGTACTCCTGTATTGTTATAATGGACTGGAATTTGTGTGATAATCTCTTGACGAGGCAATTTTGACTGTTTACTAACCAGTAATCATTTAAAGGAAACCTCACACAAAGAATGAGTGTACATGTAGGTATGGTGAAAGATGAGATGTATTCATATCTTTTGATCTACAATATTCATTACCAAAGTGTACAAGAGATATATAAATTAAGATATTCTTGGCATGATGTAATGCCATTTAGCATGACATGGGCACAACCATATTATTGACAGTTTGATGCCCAAGCTTAAGTTGGAAAGACTTTTTAAATAAAAAACCAAACCTTACTCTTCAATGAGGGAAAATCATAGGTGAGAAGGGAACAATTGTAACTCATTTGGCCAAAAAGTGACCGAAATATTGTTTTGAGGGGGGTCTTTTTTAACCACTTTCTCTAGTATGAGGGCACTGTTTACATAGAATAGGCCCATCAAATTTTGTTAGTGGATAAAAATGATTGGAAAATTTACCCCTGACCAAAAGTGACCATAATGTTCAGTTTTACCACGAAAGTGGCTGAAATTGAAAAAAACATCTAAGTAGGGTTTATTAGATGTTTAGGAAATCAGCACAAAAAGTTATCTTGGAAAAGCTAGTTCAACCTTCTCCATCAAAAATTCTGATTAAAATTTATTAATACCTAGGGTATATAACAAAGCCAAAGATTTTTGTCAAGTTTTTCCATCATGCATCAAGTGAAGTCGACTAAACACGGGTGTGGCTAGATAGTGCTATGGATTGAGAATCCACCTGTAGATGTATACAGTAGGCTTGCGGGTGCACCATGTGAGAGAGAGAGAGGGAGGATTGAGGAGTCCTGAAAAGGACTCTCAGTAATCTTTTTTGAGGGTGTGTAGTCCTGAAAAGGACTGTTGGTGTAGTCTTGAAAAAGACTGTTGGTTATCTTTCATAGCTTATAGTTCTAAGGAGAACTATAGCGCTTGGAGAGGATGGGTGGCGGGAGTGGCTCGACATTTCAACAGGTTGACTATCCGACGTCATGATGTAGTTGTTGATGTGTCATAGAACTCTTTTCTAATAAATGTGAAAGAGTTATCATGTGCATGGTAAGGAAAGGGAAGAGACTTTAAAATGTGCATATTTCTCTGAATTGTTGTCCTTAGTAATCAATTTCCAGCATCCCCATGAGCTCAAGAATCAGATGGATTTTACAATTAAGGATGATCCAGAATCACATGAAAGCCTCCTTGATCTCTGCAAACAGACCTATGACCATAGCGTCAAAGTCAGTAAGTTAGTGCTCCATCAATTTCTATAGAAGTCTTCGAGATTTTTTTAATGTATATACCATTCAAATTTCCACCTGAAACTGTGCTTAGCTATACTTTGGATCTGTTTTTTTTTTGCACTTACTGTTTATACGTTAACATTATGATGACAGTCTGTTCCCCAGAAGGTCCATACACAAAGTTTTGTTCAATCTCTAAATTCAGTTATGATTTCTGGGCCCTAGCTCCTACAGACAGGTACAGACTGAAATGTGTGGAGGAGATATATATATACAAATATAGGATCTTTTTTTAAGTTTTGCATATAATTTCATGAAACAGTGATATGTATTTATTCAATTCAACTTGCAAATGGGTCATATTATCCCTTTAAAAACGGAGTTTACTTATGTGCCTGTACAAGTATGGGTGCGCTCTCTAGTCTACTCACAAGTTGCCTCTGTCTTTATTTAGAATGTATAAGTTAAACTTGCAATGTCTCTTTCCTGAAGTAATGTTGAAAATAATACTTAGTTTGAATAGCATACCAACATGAAACCCCAAACATACAGATCAAACTGTTGGTAATTAGTTTCCTTTCAGTTTTTCTTTCCTTTCAAATGTGTTTTAACTGGTTTAGATCATCCCCAGTTTTACAATTAGCTCTTTGCTGGACAGAATACGTATGGTCTAGCTGGTGCGTGGATGACAGAGAGCAAAAAGTTTGTTCATTAAAGATCTTTTCAAATGTAGCTTTATGTTTTAACTGTTTTAGGTCATCCTCAGTTTTACAATCAGCTCTTTGCCGGACAGGATATGTACGGTTTAGCTGGTGCATGGATGACAGAGAGTCTCAACGAAAGCCAGTAAGTACTCGCAAAAAGGTTTTATTTTGGTAAACATACTATTACAGTCAAACCCTGTGATTTTCAATCACCTTTATAAGCTTGGGTCTATCAAAGTACTGGGATCTACATGTATATGTAGGCCTAGGCCCTTTAAAGTACTAGGATTAGAGGCCTATCATCTGTCAGTATTCCATGTCTTAATCCCAATGGGAATGCATCACACCTATAACTTAATAAGACAAGTTTTCTATCATCTATCTTTTTCTCTCCCTTGTTCATTACTTTGTGGGATAACAAAAACCTTTTGGACTGATTTGTAACATCTACAGTATCTTCAAAGCTGAATGGTACCTTCATAAGAACACTGAAAATTATCTTCAAAACTAAAAATTTGACCTCAGATTTTCAAAGAAGTTAACAATGGGAACTCCATCCATCATCTCTTGACTTGTCCACTTGTATTTTCACTCAGTAGCCAATCGAATCAAGGCTCCCATGGAAGTTACCATTAATGGCAAAGTTACAATAAATGCTCAATTTCATGCGACAGGGCCCTGGTTTTAATTCAAATTTCTGGATTCTCCTGAATTAACTTTGTATTAAAATGGATGTTAGTTTATTCCGGTCATGTAAACATTACACCCATGACTATAGCTTATATTAAACCAATGTCAACAAAGACTGTATAGGTAGGCTGCACACAATTTACTTTTCAGTTAGACTTTAGACCTTAGATTTGACTTTACCTACCGTACATTGTAGATGGATGTCACATGACTAAGCATTTCCATTTTTAGCAGTTCTTTTTTTTTTTTTAATCAAGTTCTGTTGCAGAGGGTGCTACACAAAATAACTTTTTGTGAGATAATGAAAAACTGAGTATTAAATTTGAAAGAACATACCATTTAAATGACAAAATCATCTTTGTTTGATCAAAATCGGTTCAGAGACGGCTGAAATATCCATTAATTTTTTTTTTGAACCAGCCGTTGAAAAAAACTAAATAGCGCCTTATACGTTCTATTCCAGCCAATGCTGATGTTGGCTTTTTCATGTTGGCTATAATACGCACAACCAGCCAGGCCCGTGTATTGTTAATATTAATTAATTAATCAACTAACGGTCACCTTTTGTTGTTGAAAGTGGAGCTGAATTGGTATGATCGTATGATTGGCTAAATTTTACACATTTTGGGGTCTAAAATTATCTTCATACTTCATTGCAATTTCAGGTCCTAATAGAGCAGTAGAAATGTCATAAATAAGAACAAGAGCAACAACCATGCACTTTGAAGGCATTTGCGGTCTGAAACAAGAACTCAACTATCCCTTTAAGGTCTAAATGAGCCTTTTTTCACCTCAAATTTACACTAATTATTTGTATTTTCAGCTCTTTCATAGTTAGAAATAAAGGAATCAAATTTCAACATTTCAACAACAACAAATCAACAAGAAAATGCCAATTTTTATACAAAAATAATGATGATGAATTTTCCTCCACAAAAATCAAAACTGAAAATTATTCCAAATAGGCTAATACTAACAAGTTTTAAACAAAAGCATTACATTTGTAAAAAGAGCAGATTTGTCACATAAATTAAACTTAGATGAAATACAGGCCACCCTTGTGTTTAACGTCCGGATCACAGGCAAACTTAAGGCACATAAAATACACTGAAAATAAAATTTCTATTGAATATGAATTTAGTTTATAACTTGTCTTTTTGTTGCCCCAGACACTTCCAAATCTCATTCTTGGTATTCAGGCCTATACAATATTATTCTCAGTGTATTTTATGACACCATGCATCCATATGGTCCCAGATTGTTTTTTATTTCAGTGTATTTATTCTATTTGTCCATGATTTTTTTCTTTAATACACATGTGTGTGATGCAGACATTGAATTTAATTCATTCATATAATGAAGAGATATGTTTTCGGGTTGTCTGTCTCTGTACGTCCCGTTCTTGTGATCACGTTATCTCAAGAACCGATTAATGGATTCCTGCCAAACTTAGGTCATGTATGTATCTTGCAGAGCTAATGAATTGATTAGATTTTGCGTCCACGAGATCAAAGGTTGAAGGTCACAGGGCTCATTATGTATGCGGTACTACTGCGATACGTCTGCGGTACTACTGCGGTACTACTGCGGTACTACCGCAGTACATTTACTCCGGAAATTGTCCAGCAGTACTTCCGCGGTACTACTGCAGTACTTGTCCTGCAGTACTTCCGTGATACTACTGCGGTACTAATGCGGTACTACTGCAGTACTACCGCGGTATTTCTGCGGTACTTGTACTGCAGTACTACAGCGGTACTTGTACTGCAGTACTACCGCGGTACTTGTACTGCAGTACTTCTGTGGTACTTTTACTGCAGTACTACTGCGGTACTACTGCAGTACTACCGCAGTACATTTACTCCGCAGTAAGTTCCCTCCATCTCCATGACTGAAGAAATACTGTTCCAAGAAGTAGAAAGCAACAGTGTGTCTCAGACTAATTGAATTATTGTTCCTGTGTAAAAAGTACAAGTACATGTATGATAAATGGGGGTTGTAATAGGTATGATTGAATGAGATTCTGTACCTCTTTCCCTCCCAGCACTCCTACACTAATGCACTGATACACATACGGTAATTGATGATTGCAATTTGTCTCTAAACTGTGATAGTCTTGTTACGTTCAATGCTCAATGTATCAGCAAGGTGACGGAAACATAGATCCATAAATCATCTCAAACAAGAAAAGTTTATGATTATAATAAAAATTTGGTCTTGCTTAGACAAGGAAAATTGATCATTAAGATATACACCTGTATGATATTTGGGTGTTGTTTACCCAGGGAAGCCATATCAGTATTAATACTGCTCTAACTTCGGGCCCTGCAATTATTATTACAACACATTGTCATTGTCAGGTAACAAATTTACACTTGGGTGGAGATTGGTAATGTGAATTAATATATTGTCAAAGGAAGTTAGTGCTGGGCTGGGATTTGAATCCTCAACCCATGCATTGAGAGTCAAGTGAAGAAACCACTATACCACAACAACTCCATTGTACAGAAGATGGATTCTTTTCTAAAATGGAACTGTTGTGTTATATGTAAGCTTTTGATAGCCAATGATGAGTTTACACGTATCTCAGTCTTTCTCGTTTGGAGTGTAATAACGTTCTTTGGTACATTTAAACTGGTTAAAGCTGTACAGGAAAAAAAAATTGAAATGATTTAATATGCCACACAAAGATCTCAGTATTGGAGAGATGTTCTGCACATTGTTATCTATGATCTACATCATACCTGCCAACCACCCCGATTTAGGCGGAGTTCCTCCGCATTTTTCATACCAACTCCGAATTCCGAATGCATGCCTCAAAACTCCGATTTAAAAAAAAAAAAAATTATTTATTTATTTATTTATTTTATTTTATTTTATTTTTTTTTAGAGTGTAATGCACTTGGAGAGTATTCTATTATGTTTGTACTTCGAAATGTAAAGCGCCTTGGGCATGTTCATGTAAAGGCGCTCAATAAATACCAATATGTATGTATGTATGTATAAGACTAAAGCATAACACAGCACTGATAACCAGATCACGCCGACATCCGCGCTCGCGCTCATAGAAGATATACACAGCGCAGCCCGAACGTGATCGTTAGTTCCCCCCCCCCCAATCTACGGGCTACTACCCCAATCCTTCGGTGGTTCGCGACCTCGTAGTCCATCCAGAAAAATTTACTCCTAATTTCTCTTGTCTCAGGTTGGCAGGTATGCTACATATGTCAAACACCTGTCAGACTCTCAGCAGAATAACACTCTCATAACATAAACCATCTGTCTTATTCCAAGAAAAATTATGTAAAATCTTGATCAATCACAGCAAAAATTTGTATCCTTATTTAATGTCTGAAACAATATCTATAATATTCTCCACAATATTCTTTCTGTTACCATTTCCCTGAATATTTCAATGTAAAAGTGATGGTGTGTTATTGAAGAAAAAGTAGTGAAAATACTTTTATAAAGCTCTCCCTGTATACAGACTGTAGTGTATTTTAATGTAGTCAAACTTTAGTGAGAATTCTATTTCTTGTTGTCTAGGTACACTTATGAAGTTGCACCTGTGTTTACTCTGATTGAGCAAGAAGTCCTCTCAAAGCTGAGAGAATTGTGTGGCTACAAGAGTGGTGATGGTATCTTCTGTCCAGGTAAGACCAACATCTCATTTTCATGGTGACACAACATTTGATCCTGCAACAATTGCTCCAGGCTTTAATTTGTCATTGTTAGGGTTAGATTAGGGTTGCAAAATATGGGTTTTAAGTTAAGTTTTAGGGCAAGGGTTAGGTGTGGTGCTGAAGTTAAGAATTTGGGTAGTGTAGGGAACTGGTTGTGTAGAATATTTGTCATGGGAGCAAGTGTCGTACAACCACTCTTCACATGAGAGGATAAAGACATGTCATACAAAGTAACACATGAGATGATTATATAACAAAATAGGCAAGTGATTCATGCAAATGACTTCATTGTATGATTAAAAGTTGAGTTAAGTTTGGGCACATCTATCATAGGGGGCGCTAATATTCACCGAATGACGTAGTAGTACAAGAGACGTTTCTGTGGTTGCTTGCATGTATCCATCCTTTCTTTCCTACTCTCATGTCAGTACTGTAGCCATGAACTGCATGATGCTCTTGTGCAATGTCTTTCGAAGCTGAAGTATACTAAATAGTTTCAAACATGAAACCTTTTAGTTGCATTTATCAACTGAGTAGTACATGTACGTCCAATGGTTTGTTGCATTATTGTAATGGCCTATATAACAATCATCCTAATACAATATATAAATGCAGTAGTAGATATTGATTAATATTTGCAAGTACAGAGTGTAATTTGATTGATTCTAAGATTAATCAGATTACTTTGGACTTCTCGATTCTGTGCCTCATAGCAGCTTTCACTATCCATAGCTTGCAGCTTGTAAACAAACCTTTTAATAACGTTAACCTGATCCAATCTAATAAATGCATTTTAATTGGATCTCCATCTTACAATAGTTCTTCAAGACACTTTTCCATAACAAAACAACTCAATTGAAATTCTTTAATGAATTGGAAATGGTTTCATGCCTAATTGGCTGCAAGTCTCAAAGACTTTCAGACAGGGAATCCTATAATTTAATCATTTTTTTCCTAATGAAGTTTGGTCTCCCTCAAACCACTCAGAGTGAAATAAGAATTAATTTGGCTACCTTAATAGCTTGCAAAATAATTGGTGGAATGGCATTCGTTTTATTTGATCGCTGCTCATTCTAATGTTGGAATAGAAATACAATAAGCACATTCTGCTTGAACAAGCAGGCCACATTAATGATCATTCAATTCGGGTATAGGGAAAAAGAAATTAATTGTATTTTTTGAAAAATATGTTTGTCTCACACTGTACACTGAATTTGTGTTTGAGCAATGCCATAGACAAGTTCATGTTCTATTTTTGACACACTTCCCCCCTCTAGATTCTTAGATTTGTTTTTCTTTTAAAGTGAAGTACGTAGCCTTGACCTAATGTTCATTATTTATTCGTAAGTTGTAAATTGACTCATTAAATTTCTTTACAAACAACCTTTAGTCCAAGTAGAGCATATAGATAATATATGAGTCAATAAAATGTTGTTAGCTATTTATTTGGAGGGTAAATCATTATGCAGCACAAATACGTTATGATTGTATGATTTTTTTGTTTCCAACTGTAGCAGATTCCATTTAATTCTTTTTGGAAATATTAAATATACAGGTTTTCTTTTCACTCTTAGAACAAAAGAAAAAACAAGCTAACAGCTCTTTGTTTTGTAACGGTGCCCTCATAATAAACAGTGCTTTCTGAATTACATGTATGATACTTTGTATTAAGAATTTTGTCATATTAAGTTAATATGTTATACATGTACATGTACTTCAGTTGTTGATTTATAACTCTATTGATTGACTTTTGATTTATATTATTATTAAAATTTAAAATTATTGTTTTTGTTGATATTGTGGTGGTTGTGGTTGTTGTTGTCATCATCATTATCATAAGTATTATTTGCATCTACTCTACACTGATTTTGGCATGCACAAATGATTTGTCCATTAGATGATTTGACGGGAAAGTTTGAAATAATTGTTTTCTAATCAGGTGGCTCACTAGGTAACATGTATGCAATCAACCATGCCAGGTATATGGTGAATGAAGACTACAAGGAGAATGGTAACTTCAACTCCAAGCCTCTACAAATATTCACTTCTGATCAGGTAAGTGGCCTAAATCAGAAAAGGACAAAAAGTTGGGATAGTGAATTAAATGAAGGAGGGTCAGTTACATTCATTTGCTGAAACATGAAGAGAATATTTTTGTGCTCAGACTTTACAAATTGAGAGAAAATAAAAATGAAAGTATAGCAATAGCATAGTATACACTATGAACATGACTGACAATGAGAGCGGACAAAATATACAGTTCCTCAGGTAGACAAAGGAACATCCCTTCACAGCTATTATGTAAAAAGGTGAATATGCATGTGACACCTGTTCTACACATTTTTACATAATAGCAGTGAAGGGATGTTCCTTTGTCTACCTGAGGAACTGTATATTTTGTCCGCTCTCATTGTCAGTCATTTTCATAGTGATAGCAGTATAGCTTTCTTAAGTTTTCTTGCATTTTGATAGTATCGAGTTTGTTTTAGTATACTCATTTACTTCCTAAAACATGTGGATTAGTAATGAAAGTTAAATATAAACTTATGTAATGTACATTACAACTCAAGTTTTCAGCGCACAAATTTTAAAAATGCAGTGTATTTTAAAGGTAATACAAAGTTTTGGTATGGGGTCATGAATTTGGTTCAAATTAACATATTGGAAGCATATGCGATCCCACAATATTCAGTGATCGTTGTCGCGCTTGAAATCGAGTCTAAAGTTATGAAATTGTAAATAATAAACTCTTTTTGTTGTATAGCTCCCTCTTAAGGTCAAGATATTAATTAAGCTAAAAAACAATGTTTCTTGACTAAAATAGACCGATTGGCTATTCACTTCTGAAAATTATGTATGACAACTACATATTCTGAAATGTTCATGGTCGCAGCTACCATTGTATGGCCGTAGGCGCTATTTGAAATTTATCAAAATTTACCAGGAGCACCGGTAAATTTTTATATTCCATTTTTCTCGAAAGCAGAAATGTTTTAGGGGCTAAATTTTCTAGTGCTTATAATACATCCACAGGGGCATCCAAATATATCAAAATTTTGAAGAATCACTATCCAGCCAATTTTCAATATTTCCCAAAACTTTGTATTACCTTTAATAGTGGTTGTGAAAGTGATTTCACATTTTATTATTTGTTTCAGCGATTCCTCCAATATGTGTGGATTTTGTTTATTTTTCAAACTTTTAGAGAGATTATGGTTTACTTTCTTTTTCTTGCGTTTGTTGAACTTGTTCAATATTACTTAAAATGCAAATGGAGAGGATAATGTAAAATATTGTGATTTAGAATTAAGAATTAAACGAAAAGTAATAAGGAGTGGAAAATCGAAAGGACAAATCAAATGAGAAATTAGAGAAGCAGTACAAAGGAAAAGATAGATAAAGCAATGCAAGGAGATATGTAAGCTAGCTGGACGTATTGACTGAATTGATTTTAAATTATAGAATGAAATTCAATCATGAGGTTTTATTTCTTACCAACAGAGCCACTATTCACTCCTGAAAGGTTCAGCATTCCTGGGGATAGGAACTAACAATGTCATCAAAATAGAAACAGACAAAAAGTAAGTGATAATGCACAAACAGTGAGTGTTTTATATTAAAAATTGATTTTTGTTTATTTTGTTTTGTTTGTTTTGTTTTTGTTTGTTTTGTTTTGTTTTTTGTTTTTTACAAATCAAAGTCAAGGGGAACACATTCTCTTAATAGTAATGACCGACCCATGACCTACATTTACTATATGTCCTAATTAATCCCATAATTAATGTATTTATTTTCCAGTGGTAGAATGATACCAGAGGCACTAGATAGAGCAATTTCTGCTGCAAAGTTGAATGTAAGTATTCTTTCTGTAGTCTATATAAAACTATTCTTTGGTTTAATTTTTCAAGTATATATATCAGGTACATGTTTAAGCGTTGTATTCACATTAAAGGAATGTTTATAATCAATTGATTTTGTATCACATGTACCAGAGAGGGGAATCATGAACTTAATCTGTGTGAGCCTCTGGTTTCTCCTCCCTGTGCAACCGATTGGGATGTCCAGGTACACCATTACATTGGGGTTTTCCCCTAGTCTTATTTGGCTTCTTAATTTGCATAGGTGGTGACTCTCCTCTACATAGGGCCTCCATTTAACGTCCTATCCAAGGGACAGGGTGTTTTTCCCTGTGGAACAGAGGAGGGGCATGTTAACACACAATGCAAGCTTCAGTCTGTCTGGACTGAATTCAAACCCATGGTCGTTGGTTTCACAGGCAAACACTTTACTGACTGAGCCAACTCCTCTTCTTATATATATATATATCTGTTTTACACATGGTCTCACAAGTGCACATTTTTAAGATGGAAATTGTAAAGTCTCCTACTGTATCGTTATCAGACAACTTCAAGTGCTGCAATTTATGCTCTATTTATCTTTAAAATAATATATTGGGTACGTGGGAGATATTAAAGATTATGAGAAAACCTTATTTAATAATTGTTTGCATTGTAACATTTAAAAATCATAAATGTCAATGTGTCCTATTTGCATTGTAACAGGGTGCCATTCCTCTAATGGTAGTTGCTACAAGTGGGACTACAGTCTATGGAGCCTATGACCCTTTAAATGAGATTGCAGACATATGTGTCAAATATGGAATCTGGTTCCATATAGATGTAAGTATGAATATGGAAGTAATCAAGTAATTTAACAGTAGTGATCCTGCCTCGTCACATGACCAATTATAACCATGATCCCATCCCAGACAATTTTCCCAAGAAATTCTGTTTCATTTGTAATGTCTTGGCACAGTGGTAATATAAATTGATGATGAGTGCAAGGGAAACATGTTTTGTGATGTTGTGTGATTTGCTGGTAACGGACCACAGAAGCAGATCAAAGATTCTTTAAAGGGAGAGGGAGGCAAAACGAAGCAGAACAAACAAACAAAGAAACCTTTCAGGTTATATGTTACTAAATAAATCTCTTACAAGCTTTTTTTTCCTTCACATTTTAAAAGTGCCATGAACAGTAGGTGATATTTGTAAGGAGGCACAATATCAGAACAAGGGGGACACTTTTATAACACCTTCCATAAGAAAGACCTGTGTGCAATGAGATCAAATATTTATTTAAGTGTCACTTGATAACAGAATACGTCTGTAAATAAAGTCAGAGAACATGCTATTGATATACCCCCCTCCCCCCTCTCCTCCTTTTTGCAGGCTGCCTGGGGTGGTAGTGCCCTTCTTTCATCTACTTATAGACATTACCTTGATGGCATCCACCGGTCTAACTCAGTCACATGGTGTCAACATAAGATGATGGGGGTTCCCCTGCAATGCTCTGCATTCCTATTGAATGGCAATGTAAGTAGCTGTTCTCCCTTATAAATTGTGTATCAATTGTATTATTATAATGTGTTCTAGAATGTACTGTCTAAGTAATCTAACAGGTCAAATGACTCCACTTGACTGTGCATCATTCTTTCCTACCATGCCTTCCATGCGTAAAGAATTCCCATCAGAAAGTGATAACCCATGGCTAACGGTGATAATGATAATGATAGAGATGTACGTATGCTCATCTTTGAGATGGGACGTAATCACATGGTTCCAAATAGCAAGCACATTGTTGCCCACTCTGAGATGCGCATTATACTGATTGGCTGCTCTTATGGACTGTGATGTCATTCTAAGCATTGTGGCCTCCATGACTGTGTGACTTTTGGTGTTTTTGTTGCTTATTTCTCAACTTTATATTTATATTGTAGACCCTTTTTTATAAAAAAAAAATATCCATGTTTTAAGCTCATGCATTAGGGATGTGCACTGCGCTCGATTAAGTCACACTGAACCTGAAAATGAACTAAACAAGTCTTGTTCATTATCTGATTGTGACTAAACCTACATGTACATGCAGTGTATATTCATTAGTGCACTCAGAAACATGAATTATTTGTATATTTTATCAAACAATATGTAGATCCTTTTAAGAAGCCTTCCAAAGAAGTCATTCATCTTGTAGAAGACGTATAAAACTCACATTGTATGTCATCCTTCCACTATGGCAGGTTTGGTGTGCTTCTCTGCTCTATCTCATTGTCAGTTTGTAGAATTGGCTGATTTTGGCTCATATAGATTTAATGTGTATTTGCCTACATGTAGATTGGGCTGAAGTAGATTATACATGTGCATGAGGAGAACTTTTAAAACCAAAAATTTGGCACAGAGTAATAGTGAGACCCTGAATCGGGTAAACTAGCAATTAAATTAAACCTGCTTCTATTGGTGTTGGTGTTCCTTAAGAACTAGTGGAGCAGTGAATTCAATTCATGACACAGTCCCACATAGGTTTAGTCCCATCTAAATAAACCTAGCTATATAAAACCATTATTTCTTTTTGCAATCTGTTGGTTGGTCATTGATAGGAAACCAAACTATATAAAACTATTATTTCTTTTTGCAATCTGTTTGTTGGTCATTGATAGGAAACCAAAATATATAAAACCATTACCAGTGTTTCTTTGTACAATCTGTTTGTTGGTCATTGATAGGAAACCAAAATATATAAAACCATTACCAGTGTTTCTTTGTACAATCTGTTTGTTGGTCATTGATAGTAAACCAAACTATATAAAACCATTACCGGTATTTCTTTGTACAATCTGTTTGTTGGTCATTGATAGGAAACCAACTATATAAAACCATAACCGGTATTTCTTTGTACAATCTGTTTGTTGGTCATTGACAGGAAACCAAACTATATAAAACCATTACCGGTATTTATTTTTGCAATCTGTTTGTTGGTCATTGATAGGAAACCAAACTATATAAAACCATAACCGGTATTTCTTTGTACAATCTGTTTGTTGGTCATTGACAGGAAACCAAACTATATAAAACCATTACCGGTAATTCTTTGTACAATCTGTTTGTTGGTCATTGATATAAAACCATTACCGGTATTTCTTTGTACAATCTGTTTGATGGTCATTGATAGGAAACCAAACTATATAAAACCATTACCGGTATTTCTTTGTACAATCTGTTTGTTGTACATTGATAGGATACCAAACTATATAAAACCATTACCAGTATTTATTGTTGCAATCTGTTTGTTGGTCATTGATAGGAAACCAAACTATATAAAACCATTACCAGTATTTCTCTTTGCAATCTGTTTGTTGGTCATTGACAGGAAACCAATTTATATAAAACCATTACCGGTATTTATTTTTGCAATCTGTTTGTTGGTCATTAATAGGAAACCCTGATGAACCGATGCATGAGTGCCAAGGCCAAGTACCTGTTCCAGCAAGATAAGTTCTATGACATTAGTTATGATACGGGTGACAAGTCCCTCCAATGTGGCCGTAAGGTAGATGCTTTCCGTCTCTGGCTTATGTGGAAGGCTAAAGGCAATAAGGGCTTTGAGGCAGAGATAGACCACAAGTTTGCCATATCAAGGTAATTATACACTCAAGGTTCCTGCATTTTCATAATTTGTTTTCTTTGCAGCTGATGCCATGATGTAAGCTATTCATTTTAGAATATTGTTGATTGTTTTGTTTTCAGCTGAAGACAGATCACATGAAAAGTGAAAGAATGATGTAGTTCAGTATATCATTAACCCTTTTTGATAGTGCAGGGTTGTCTATACTGATAAATTTGATATTTTGTCTCATATATATAGAATAGGTAATGCTACGGTCACAAAGGTTTGTACAAAATAATTTTGTACCAATCTCCCTGTTTTTCCATTGTCTTCCCAAATTTCCATAGTCTGAAAATCGTTCTTATGGCGTTAGTAGCAGTTCGTAATGGCATTTGTGACCGAGGCTTTAATGAATTGTGAAGTAAGATATCATGGAACATTATTAAATCCAGGTGAAGACTGGAAATGAAAAGAAACAAACACAAAAATTATCTCTTACAATAACAATTCCAATAATTCTTGAGAACTTGAAGCTCCATCAATCATTTGATTGGAAATGTGGGAACACCTGTTTACATAGCTACTGACCATTCCTATTTTAGATGAATGAATGATTCCTATTTCTTGCCTTCAAACTATTGTTCTGAATCCTAGATTTCTGTCTTTTCTTGGATACTTCTCAATTGAAACATACAAAACACACTACGGTATACCTAATGTTGCCTTCAGAGATTTGTATTTTTTGCATTGGAAGCTAGGTTTGCAGGTATGCTGTAATACAAAATGGAAAAAGTGAATGGCTTTTCAGTGATGCCTACCTGTTTAGCTTGCTTAGTGCAATGTGGCACACAAAGAAACATCCGGAATGCAAAATGTATACCGGTAGTTTTATTACAGAGCTATAACCACATTGTTAAGGTATGGAGCTGGTGAATGCATGTGCTATCGTGATTTGGCCAAATTTACCTAAAATTTCATTCAGATATGTGGAGGAAAAAGAAAGACACTCACTTTAAGTCTAATTAGTAACTATTTAGTACACCTTTCGCTTTCGGACGTAACTTTTTGTGCCACTATATTTTACTAAGCTTCCTTGATTAACATTTTGTATGGCAGAAATGTGTTGGCTGTCACATCATTCAGATACATGTATATTGATAGACCTTCTTTGATCCTTCTATGTAGGTATTTCACTCAGCTTCTTCATGAGCGAGATGGATTTGAAGTTCTGATGGAGGTTAGTAATCTAGATCCTTTAAAAATGTTCATCACCAAAATATTCTCAATGTGATGTTGGTCATGGTTATGGAGTTTTGGAAGATTTTCCTGTATTCATAAAGTAGATAATATTCACAGTTTTTTTATTTGCATTTATTCACATGCTGTTTTTATTTTCTAGTTTATCCTTAGTATAGGATTGCTAATTTAGTATTTACTTTTTATAAAGGAATTGATGATTATCATAGCTACTTGTATTTCAAAATATATTAACCATATGGTTTATGTGTGTTCTTCCATGCTTGATACAGTGAGAATTTTTGTTAATTCATCATTAAAGATCAGAGGAAAACATCTAGATATTTTATTTTCTGAGAGCTTTCCTTTAAGGCAATTTCCTTTACTTTTTCTCACACTCTTTGCTTCCACAGCCTCAGTGCACAAATGTATGTTTCTGGTTCATCCCAGCAAGCCTCAGAGATGAGGAAAGAACACCAGAGTTTTGGGAGAGACTTAGTAAGGTGAGAGAATGAATTATTCTACTTCATGATTGCATTTTATTAAAGCTGATATCAAATTGTTTTGTTTAAACTGCCATGGTTTGCTACAGTTCTTCGTGGTAAACTCCCATCAAATCTTGATCAATGTGAGTGATTGAATATGTTGACTTAGGAAAATAGGGAAAAAACGAAGGAAGAAACAAAAATGTGATTTAACCTGAAATTGAAAATGAAGTTTACACCTATGGTGACCTATCTTATTTCTATGTCCACTGGTGTTACATGTAGCGATACTTCAAATCAAGTTGTAAAATGTAAAGTAATTTGGTTGTGCTACACATGCTCTGGTAAATTAGGATCAATTTCTTGCTCTTACCAAATTCTTCACCACAGCCCTAGACAAAACACTGAACAGGATCCTGACCCTATCCCTAACCCTTACCTACATATAAAGCCCAATCACAACCCTAATCCGAAGCAGCTGTCGCCAGAGCAAATGTTGTAGCATCAGTAATTTATAACACTGATTTGAATTGACCTTTGACCTGTAGGTTGCCCCTGCTATCAAGGAAGGTATGGTGTTAGAAGGATCAATGCTGATTGGATACCAGCCCAATGGTGACCACATCAACTTCTTCAGAATTATATTCTCCAATGCACGTGTTACAAAGGAGAGTGTTGCATTCGTTCTTGATGAGATTGATCGTTTGGGACGAGATCTTCAGGTTTAAATCCCTCTCTGTCCTCTCTATTTCTCTCTCTCTCTTTCTCTCTCTCTCTCTCTCTCTCTCTCCTTCCTCTCTCCCTCTCTTCCCCTCTCTCTCTCTCTCTCTCCCTCTCTTCCCCTCTCTCTCTCTCTCCCTCTCTCTCTCTCCCTCTCTCTCTCTTTCTATCTTATTCTAATTCTCTCTCATTCTGTTTTTCTGATTCTCTATCACTTTCATCTTTCCCCTGTTTCTTTGGTCTTAAAGGATATCATAAAATCATAAAGTTGTTCAAACATTATTAGTTTCTCTGTCTGCCACAGGAAGCTTGACTCGCAAGATAGTGTAAAAAATACATTATATTCTTAAGTTTTCTAACCCTCGATCTTCAGTCACGTAAGAATAAATTTCCATATATTTGATTACTACAATGTAGATACAATTAATCCATTTCTTTCCAAAATATGTGACAGATGTAGAATGAATCTCAGTATCGATGTACAAGGGTTGCTTATCATTCATGTGGATATCCCTTCAAATATGAGCGTACTTGTAACAAAGGTTTCCTTCATAAATGTTAATGCCCTATCTTGCATTATGTGTCAAATTCTAAAGACTGCCCTCCTAATCTTTAAAATCATTTTTTTAAACTAACTAAGAAATAATCATGAACAACTGTAACTTTGAGCTACAAATGAAGATAATAAAATAAGGTGTTAATAAAGGTGCTTGCAATGATTTTAGTACTAACAAAAAAGAACAAATATATTTGAAGTGAACTGTAATTGATAACAATTCAAGATATATCATATTTCTATGCATTTTTAGGAAAGTGGATCTGATATCTACGGTACACTAAACATTATAATATCTATCTTTGGTGCCAAACTTTTCATTTTGAAAAAGAATGAATCACTTATTGACTTTAATTATTTGTAAGGTTGCCAAAAGAGCAAAATTGTTGAATGTGTGAAATACACTACTGGGCATGAGTGTCTTTAAGTCATTTTGTTTACACAAAAACTAATCATCTTTTAAATTCAACCTTAATGACAGGAGATATGAATATACAGTCATGTAGTTGTAATTCATGAGGTAAAAATACAGACTACAACCTTGTTGTTGAAAGAGACCCCACTATGAAGAATGGAAATAAAATATTTTAATTTCATAATAGAGAATTTTACTTCAATGAAGATTAGCCTTCAGTGAAAGCTGTATTTGGTCACCTGCACTATGCATGTCATTGTTTAAATGATAATAGGAGAATAAAAAATAGATCAGTGAAATAAGAATGAAATTATTCAAACGCATTTGTTTGATCAAATGCTTATTTTTATGTTTCTTGATTGAACATCATATTGTTTAATTAGCAATAGTGTAAAGGCTGCATTTAAAAAAAAATCTCAGTGATGTCTTAGCATGACATATGTCAATATATTGAATGTGCAATTAATTTTTACCTCTTCATGCTTCTCGTAAATGTATTGTTTGTTTCGGTTTTCAGTCTGTTAAAGTGGAGAGTTTATTTAAGGATTGTTTGACTGAGCTATGCCCCTGCGACAATTGCTTTGCTGACATTTTGTACATTAACTAAATTCCTATCTACAACCCTGGAGCAAACACAATACCTAATCCTAAACCTTCTCTAACAACCAATGCATCCCTGATCCTTTATTCCTCTCATAAAATAAGCCTCAAGCAATTGTTGCTGGAGCAAATTTGTGATAATAACAACTGTGAAGAAAAGCAGCGTGAAATTTGCCATAGTCATTGATACAAAGCTAATACATTCATGATTTATGTACACATGTATATTTATTTCATATAGGGCCGATGTAAAATATGGTAAATTTGTATAAATCTGTGAATGCCCTCTTATCTTTGTCATGAGTAGCAAATCAAGTTGTATTTGTAAAAGTTGGAATTAATGCACAGTTATCTTATCCCTGGAAAGATTTGGCTTACCAGTAGATAGTCTTATCACATATCTTTAGGGTATTGAATGCCCAGTGATTCTGTAAATATGCTGCACCTAATAGCTATGCACAGTAGAGATCTAGGAGTACTTCATAATGAATGTGAATTGTACAATTATACTCCTAACACACAATGTTGGTATTGATGTATTCATGCATGTGGGTGTTAAATTTAGTCTTCTTGAACAATGTGTGTGGTCATGATTAAAACCATCAGGTGGTCTCACTGGCTGTGTGGTAAGTGAAAGTTGTTCAGTGATTTTGGTTACAGCAGGGGGGGGGGGGGTTAGAATCCTCCCTGGTTACAGTATACAGATGCAGTACAGTATCTTTGTTACATAGGCTCAGTACTAAACCCACTTCATATCATATCAATTTATCCAAAAGAACTTGTTACTTTTGCTTCAATATTCCTATCTTATGGTGCGAATGTAGAGTCACATCACTTTGTCATATATATACTTGTGAATCTTTTATAGTAATTTTGAGAAATTAATATATACATTTTATAATGTTTTAGATGTTGAGATGTATGAAAATCCTGCCTTGTACACATTAGAGATATATATTTTATAACCAGTGCTCTTTCAGGTGTCAAATATCTGATCTGGATATTTTTTCTTCTGAGCCCTTTCCTTACTTTAAATTCTTCTTACTTTGAATTTTGAAATGGACAAAATACTATATAAAGGCATTTTCAACTCTTCACCATTATGTTGAGAAAATGTGGAAATATACAGCGTATCTGTATTGTGATTTTACATATTTTAATTGTTTTACATTTACAACTCAGTGAGATATAATTCACCTTCTTTGTTTGCTTATTTGAATATGCCAGTCTGATTGTTGAAAGGGGTAAAGTACATATACAATGTCATCATTTACATATAGGAGTCATGATGGAATGTTGATTTTGCCTTTATAGATTGTCTGTTATCATATTCCAAGTTACTAAGCTTTACTCCTTACAAACTTGTTAGAAGAAGTGCTTTTGGAATGGTCCTGTTAGTTAATATATTATACTATGTGTAATAAAGTATATGATGATTGAAGTCAAGGTGTAAATGATTGTATTGATTTCTTCCCCCTCTCTCTGTACTCCTGTAGGCAGGGCTTAAGGTGTAAATGATTGTATTGATTTCTTCCCCCCCCCCCTCTCTCTGTACTCCTGTAGGCAGGGCTTATTCAGACTTAAGTCAGAAATGTTAAGGGTATGTGTGCAATGGGACCTCTTTTCAAAGTAGGGAATGCTAGGTGTCGAGGGTGAATATTTGGAACCCCTGTTAAGTTAAACTCTGCTGTAGGTTTGAGTGTTACTGCCTAGGGTAGGTGAATGGGTGGTCCCTGCAGTTAAGCTTAGGATAATTATATAACCCGGTAGTCAAATGGCTGATACAAGGCACAGACCGCAGAATGTGAAACCTAACCCACTCACTACTGGAATTATTCCAGACCTGCCAACCTCTGGAGTTCAAAAACTGTATTCTTTAGTGTCAAAAGTTGTATTTTACTGACAAAAGTTGTATTCTTGAAAATAAACACGGATTGTTACGCGGATCAATGCCTCTTATAGTTTCTACCTACAGGAAGAATTTTTTTTATTGATTATTGGTTGAATATGCATTATTTCGTCACGACTGGTGTGTTAGATGAACCAATAAACATCCCCAAATTGCCGATGTGAGATGCTTGTAGGATACTTTACAGGACAGAATGGACATTTTGCCATTGAAAATGGTGGACGCACACAAAATATTAATTTAAATTAAAAAAAAAATAAATAAATAAATAAATAAAAAAAAATTAAAAAATCATTTTTTTTTTTTTTTTTTTTTTTTTTTTTTGAAAATTGTATTTTATTAAGGAAAATCGTACTGTCGTATTTGCTTCTAAAAATCGTACTAAATACGACTAAATCGTTCTGGTTGGCAGGTCTGTTATTCTTTTCCCCGAGACTTAACCCTATTTAGCCCAGGCTATTTTGAAACTGCATAGCCCGGGGGGGGGGGGGGGGGCTTCTAAGGCCCCCCCCCCCCCCCTATGATCTCGGCCGTGAAATGACCGATCGCCGCGAAAATTTGCATACATGTCAAGTGAAGTGTATAGAATACTATGGTAATTTCAATTTTTTGAAAAATTCACTCATTTGCATATTTTAATTGTAATTCAATTCAATTCAAATTCAATTCAAATTTATTCATGTTTTCAACAAAACATTACAAATCAATTATAAGCATTTAAAACAAATTTAAGAAATACATGTTGGAAACAGAGGGGTCCACTAAAAAGCAATGTTTGTACAAGTGTGAACACCTCAAATTTATGCAAATAAGGTCATCAAATTCACATTTTTTCCCATAAATCAGACATTATTCATATTTAAGCATTCTTTCTCATTACATATATTTGTTAGACCATTTGGAATAATAATACAACACAAAAAATTGAAAAACCAGGGTTATTCTTTATGTTATCTATTGTTTTGATAATTTCTTATGTATTTCTTTGTTTTTTTAACTTATGTATTTTATTGTTTTTGTTTTTTTATTTCATTTCCAACTATAATTCAACTATTTTGACCCCAAAATAAACACCTTAACTATAAAGACCAAATAACCAATGTTTTATCTCTTTATTTGAAAAATGAGATTTCCATGTTTCGTACACAAATCACAAAAATGACAATTTTCGGGCTGACATGCAAAGACAAAAGGACACGTGACTTTGTAACGGTAGGTCCGATTTTCGAAAAAATTATATCAAAAGATGCGCAAGACTCGAAAGAAAAAAAGTCACAAAATTTCAGTGCAAGATTTTTTTGCGTTAAAAAATTATCGCGAAAAAATGTCGAGGGGGGGCTTCTAAAGCCCCACCCGGGCTAAATAGGGTTAAAGCCCAAGTCCACTCCAAAAATAAGTTACTTTCAATAGAAGCAGAAAAATCAGACTAACCAATCAAAAAAAGTCTGAGCAAAATTGGATAACTAATAAGAAAGTTATGAATTTTTAATGACATTAAAAACTTTGAAAATCACTAGACAAATTAGCAACTCACTCATGAGTCTCTGACGTCATGTCCTCACCCTGCTAAGTATTTTCTTTATATTGATGATATAAATTTCTTTTTTTTCCTTAAGAATCTTATTTCTTCACACCAGCATCCAAGTTAGATTAATAGTAATGTTTTTGTGTGGATGCACTAATATAGAGTAATTTTTCCAGTTAAATCATGAAAATGTGAATTTTGATAAACTATTTATATAAAAATCAATAATTATGAATATACAATATTCAGAAAATAATATAAATTTTTCAAAGTTCATAAAAGATTTTGTGAAATGTCATGCACGCAATATGATACAAATCATATAACCTGGGCAAAAGTTTTGGGGAATAAAAAGGGAAATTAATGGGATTAAACCATATAGCGCAATTGATAAATAGTGAGGACATGACGTCACAAACTGATATTACCATCTTGGCAATTTGTGTTGTGATTCTCATTGTTCCATAGTGTTACATACTTTTTCAAAAATTCATAACTTTCTTATTAGTAATCCGATTTTGCTCAAACTTTTTTTGATTGGTTTGTCTGATTTTTCTGCTTATTTTTCGAGTGGACTTGTGCTTTAATGCAGGAATCAACTTGCTCATATAGGTACTGGGTTTAAGGACACCATCTCAAGATGAACATTCTTCAAACATTCTTTCTTTCCCTCCCTCTAAACATTACATTAACATACTAATTCATCACAGTTGCATTTATATTTATAATTTCACTTTATTACTTTCAATGTAACCTTGCACATAAAATAAATCCTCTTCATTTTCACTCATATTGCATACAGATGATATTTAATATGAGTACAATTATTATACATACACCCCACTTTCATCATATAAAAATACAATTTTTAGATAAATTACCATAAATATTAATCAACATCCATCAATATACATGCAATAAAATAAATGCATGTTGTTCTTTCTTCATATCGCCAATGTTCCTATAAGAATTCCAAAAAACACCACCAACAAGCTAAATATAAACCATATCTCTCCTGCTGAAAACAATGAATGAATCAAATAATCCACTATCAAAGGAACAAGTCAACTTTGATTTGACAAGTTACCAACTTTCATCAGCATATATCAAAGCAATATTAACGTAAGCCTTATTCTCTATTCAACATTTCAAATATCAGATGAGAATGCATCACTAAACATGAAGTTTCAACTCACTGAATTAAAAATTGTTCAAATTCATGAAAGCTTCATACTGAATATGACAAATGTATTCAATGATGCTCTAGCTCTACCATATATTATAAATTATTTGTTGCCTTTGTTATTCTCTCTTAATTCAAATCAATTGTATTACTTTATTTTAATTACTTTTCTCTTATTCCTCAAAAAGGAGTGCACCACAATGACCATGGCATATTTCTTCTTGCTTTTTGTTCTTCTTTTTCTCCTTTTGCTATTTGATGTGATTGGTACATGCTTGTTCTAAAGTACCAATTTTTTCCTTCCAGACCAGTAGAATATCGCCATATTTTTTTTCATACACGTATTTACAATTTAAAACATTTAAATGTCTAACATGGAGTACAATTACAGTTAGGATCAATGTATAGATTAGTATTGATCAACTTAGTCATTTCCCTCCTGCAAAAGTGGAAGAATAATAAGAATACTAAGATCATGATTTCAAATGCATTCTTTACAATGTATTTCCTGCTGAGAAAAGCAACATTTTATTTATAACAGATTACAAATCTTCAATATTCCCTATTTCTACTACTATCTCCACGTTGGTCATTCACTAATCTGACACTCCCTGAGAAATTTATTATAATCACTTTGCGCCAGCTGTGACTATTCAAATCTAAGAAAAACCCACATTACTACTGCTATAAGATAAAGAACAGGTTTATCAGATATTCACAATTGGCAAATTGCTGGCAGGATAAATTCACCCAAGAACTCTATTTTAAGGCCTTAAATCTACATTTATAGGTTTATCTATAAATGAGAAATTCCATGCAAAATGCCCTATACAACAGATTTCTTCTTTCCATTTATTTCATCCCCCCCCCCCAAAAAAAAAAAAAGATGAAAGGTATCTTGATATGACTATGTAAGTGAAGCCAGAAAGATCACTGAATTAGTCAACGTTCAACTCAGGAAATTCAATTTTTTGATGAAGGAAAAGGAAATATTATATCACACATAAATGCTGTACGGTACACATTGCATGGAATCTGAATTAGCCCAAATCCACTTTTTCAATACTTCTAGACTAGCACATAATGATGAGAAGATATCAAAATATTTGAAATTACAGAGATTAGACATAACAAACCACTCTGCATGGCAAATATCATTTTTTTCAAAGGAATGTTAGCATTGTCTGATCATTAGGATTCCTAATCATCATTAAAGAATTTCTTTGTCAATGTACAGCATACGCAAACCATGTACCTGTACCTGTTTCCCACTGCAAATCTAGAAAAGAGTACCTGTAGATGTAAAATGTGATAGAGGTATGCAATGTACATAAATGATAGATAGTTATTGATATAGAGCACCTTCAATTAAACTCATCTTGATTGATTCAAGTTGTTATTATATTCCATCATCAACTACAAAACAACGTGTTTGAAGGCACTAACCAAACATCAATCATTGTAAGCATCATGTGAATCTTGGTTTGATTTAGATAGCTTTGAAGAAGTAACACAGATAACATCCATGTGAGAGGTTTACTTGGATCTAGAAGGCAGTGTGTTCATCAGTTTACAAATGATGGATAGCATCACTTCATCTGCTCCTCCACCTATAGATGTGAGTCTGTGTATATATAGAAATAGATGTACAGAGTATTAAAATCAATATAAATGCTACATTCATTGAACACATAAGGAGCATTATCTTTACTTACTCATGTTTTATGCAACATTACTTCTTGATTCTTTATTGATACAAAATTACCATAATGAATAAACACTTCCCCCCCCCCCCCCTATCATGGGACTTTAGACATTTTGAAGTAATTTGATTTTGAAATAGGCAGTATAAATGAACTACGGAGGATGGATTGTTTTGTAAAATACAATTGAGAGAAGTGAGAAAATATGAATTAAGGCGGAATGGTAGCTTTTTAGAAAAGTATACATTGCACAAAGTGTTTTGGAAATATAAAGCTTTGACAAGTGTTCGGGGTAATCCCCAATATGAAACAAAATGGGGGTGTGAATAGCAAATTGACAAAAACAAGGATGATAGTGGTGAGTACAATGAGTAACAATCATACAGAGCATATCATAATTTGGTACAGAAAATATCTGAACAAAACCCCAAGTCTGACATTCTATACCCCTGATTAAAAAACCACGTAATGTGATCAAGACGTGAATCCATCTAGGATGTACCTTGCATTTATTTGGGAAGAGTTCCTGTGAGTTTACAGATGATGGAGAGCATTACTTCATCAGCACCACCTCCTATTGAGAGTAACCTTCAAGCAAATGGAATGATATAAAAGCAATGTTTACATAAAAGAGTTGGCCAGAGCTGATATAGTATTGAGGTTTCTTTTAATGAAATGGCACTGTCCTTGATCGTTCTATTTTCTACAAGCATGATCAATTTTCACACAGACAAAAAAAGTCTTTGACACCCGAAAAAACTTTTGGACAAGCAAAACTGACGAAGTTGTCAAGTTTTGGTGCCTAGTAGCAAGAGGACAAACAAAAATTATAGATGATGTTGAAGCCTGCATACAGAGTCAATTAAAGTGACACAGCATTTTAAAACTATTTTGCTCACTCATTGTCATTGCAGATGAAATGTAGCCGGCTGTACATGAACAATGAAAGTAAGCTAATATGTATAAGGCTAGAAGACTAGTCAGTACATTATGGATCAACTGAAATACAACTGGTTCCTACAATGTAAAATATGTTGAGACCCCCTTTCCATTTTCACTTGATTTCAACATGGGCATTTTTTCTATTTGTATTCTGCCTTACCTTGTATCTCTGTAGTATCTGGAGATAGGCATGTCAGAAGTGAAGCCCATTCCTCCATAGAATTGCAAGCAAGCATCACTGACCTCACGAGCCAGACGTCCAGCTTTGAGCTTGACCATTGATGCAAGTCTGGTGGCATCCTGACCCTGGACATATAGAGCTGGCGGAAAAAAAAGAAAATTATTTCTTTTCATTGAATGCAAATAACATCATAATACATACATGTGCTTACACAGGAGTGGTGAGCAATTTAGCTCTGTGAGACAGGGTTTACCCATGATCAGTCAACATCAACGTTACGGACCAAGATTTAACAAAATCAAGACAAGGTCGAAAAGGAAGTGGGGTGGTGATAAACGTCAAACCACATTTTAACCTAAAGCCTGCTACTTTTCTGCCAGCCACTGACCTTCATGAGGTAGTATGGATTCATGTTTTGACCCTATCGTCTTCCTTGTTCAGCCAGCAGTATATCATAGCTGCTGTGTAATCTCCATCTGACCACACACTTAAGGATGAACTCTTACAGTACCTCATGCATTGTATCAAGAACATTAGTCTAGAGAAGATACCCTAAGGACCTATCTATTAGCCTTGGGGACCTGAACAGGACACACATCGCATCCCATTGCTATGAATATCAAACTGTGCAAGAAAGCAACAAGGGTTGATTTGGATGCAGAATTAAGATGGATCCACTTTGAAGGAAAAAATCACAACAACATTAATAACGAGGAAGACGCAAGATAAAATAAAAGTCTATAGAAGTTTAATATTCATGGGTACTCCTGAAGCATGGACATGTCCAAGCACACAAGACCTAAAAGGATTTCCAATTAGTTGTTGACACATTTGATTTAAACAGTCAACCTGACACTTTTAAGATTTATTGAGTTACAGAAACCCATTGCCTATTGAAACCTGGTGGTTTTGTACCAAGCCTATCAGAATGAGAGAATTGGTAGTTAACAGGTTAACAAACTGGATCATATTCCACTCGTAAAAAGAGTACAAAGATGTTTAAAGTTGACCAATAAAACTGGAAGTCAGTTCTATTTGAAAGCTTTGATAATGTTTTGAGGTACCTGTTGCTCTGTATAGAAGTGATCTGAGCAGCTCTACTTCTGTCTGTAGCTCAGCCAGTCTGAAGTGAACCACTTGGTTGTCAAGCACTGACTTGCCAAAGATCTTCCTACCTCTTGTGTATTCAATGGTATCTGCTATCATCAAGTCCAGGGGAACAAGAACTGGAAAATGGTTCAAATGTCATGCAAAATTTGTGTTACAGCTTAATAGAATAAGTTAACATGACAAAGAGATTAACACAACTTACATGTCACAGATACCTTGTTCTATATGCACATATATATTTTTACAATTAGAGCCTTTCATAGAGTGCAGAGATCAGAATGTTACCTGGGTAACCTTTTTAACATTTTCCATGTTTCAACAACATTATTAAATATCAAATAAAATATTCTTTCTTACTACTTGATCTATGTGACAATTACTTTGAAGCATTTCATGATGCTGTGATTATATGACAGGATTGGTGTAAGAAAGATCACTCAAATAAGTACACGCATGCAAATTGGAAAGTTATATGTACCAGCAATATATGATGAATTGAACTGAATTGAACTTTATTGTTTCCAATCACATTAAAAATGACATTATACATTGTTGTAATACATACATAGGCAAAGAAAAATACATAGAAATATATACATTTATTTATAAACTAGATGGAATTTTGACTGCGCGCAGTCGAAAATGATGCCTCCGCCATAGAGCAATTTAAACAAGTTTGGAGTTTAAATCTCCAGTGGTTCTTGAGATATCATGATAACAATCTCAATGTATGGAATTTCGTAAGTTGACCTCTGTGACCCTTGACCTTTGACCTACGTGCTCCAAAATCTAATCAGATTGTCTTCCTATGGTGATACACACTATCATTAAGTTTGAAGTTTAAATCTCCAGTGGTTCTTGAGATATTATGATATGGTGATACATACTATCATTAAGTTTGAAGTGAAAATTCTCCAGTGGTTCTTGAGATATCGCAATAACGATCTCAATGTATAGAATTTCATAAGTTGACCTCTGTGACCCTTGACCTTTGACCTACGTGCTCCAAAATCTAATCAGATCGTCTTCCTATGGTGATACATACTATCCTTAAGTTTGAAGTTTAAATCTCAAATGGTTCTTGAGATATCATGATAACAATCTCAATGTATGGAATTTCATAAGTTGACCTCTGTGACCCTTGACCTTTGACCTACGTGCTCCAAAATCTAATCAGATTGTTTTCCTATAGTGATACACACTATCACTAAGTTTGAAGTTTAATTCTCCAGTGGTTCTTGAGATATCATGATAACAATCTCAATGTATGGAATTTCATAAGTTGACCTCTGTGACCCTTGACCTTTGACATACGTGCTCCAAAATCTAATCAGATTGTTTTCCTATAGTGATACACACTATCACTAAGTTTGAAGTTTAAATCTCCTGTGGTTCTTGAGATATCATGATAACAATCTCAATGTATGGAATTTCATAAGTTGACCTCTGTGACCCTTGACCTTTGACATACGTGCTCCAAAATCTAATCAGATCGTCTTCCTATGGTGATACATACTATCCTTAAGTTTGAAGTTTAAATCTCAAATGGTTCTTGAGATATCGCGCTAACAAACTCAATACAAGGAATTTCATAAGTTGACCTCTGTGACCTGTGACCTTTGACCTACGTACTCCAAAATCTAATCAGATCGTCTTCCTATGGTGATAAATACTATTCCCGAGTCTTAAGTTTAAATCTTAAATGGTTCTTGAGATATTGTGATAACGGTCAAACGGGACGGACGGACGGACGTACGGACGGACGGACGTACGGACGGACGTACGGACGGACGTACGGACGGACAACCCGAAAACATGATGCCTCCGGCACCACCTTCGGTGGCGGAGGCATAAAAAAAATAATAATAAAACATTTTAATTTAGAGATTTACAAGAGTACCAGAATGTACATGAGTGGAAGTATATTCAGCCTGACCAAATCACTGAGACTATCTTTGGGACAATCACCTCATGATGATAGAGCTCAGGTCTGATAGAGGTGTTATAATGTTTTTATTCTTACCACCAGCTCCTGCAAACAACCTTTCCTCCTGGAACTGCAGCATCTGATACAAGAAGCCTGCCCCCTCTTGACCAATCAAATAACTCTGGGGGACATGGACATCTTCAAAGAACAGCTCAGCTGTGTCTGAGCAATGCATGCCCAACTTGTCGATTCTTCTTCCTCTAGTAACACCTACACAATGAAGTTAGAATAACAATGTGCACTAGCTCAAGAATGGACCACCATTGTGCCTGTAGTGCAGTGTTTAATAGACCACTTTACGAACATATTGACATTTACTACATACTCTGTAAACAAAAGTTGTTCTTAACAACTTAAGAGATTGGTCAAGGCTTGTCTGACATAGCAACAAGTAATGCATACATGCCAACATTTGAAAATCAGAAATCTGTACAAATTATGCTATTTTTAAAAAAAAGAGGAACAATCCTAACTCTCCTGTTCAATACTACAGACAAATTTGTACAGGAAGAGGAACACCTGCATTAAAATGATAATTATCTTCTCCCAAAAAGAGGAATGTTCCTCTTTAATCTGAACAGTTGGCATGTATGGTAATGTATGCAGATTGGATTCCAAGGTATTTCAGTTCATTCATGAATAACAGGTTAATTGAATACCTCGTCACTAGGTCCCCAGGAAAGAAACATTCATAAATTTAAATATATTAGTGAACTAGTGAATTAGTGAACAATATATTATTGTACCTATGAATGGAGACATAACCTGTTTAAGAATAAATTCATTAACCAAATTATCATATTTATTCCTTGTTTTTCTTTTTTTAAACTTTAACCAAAACAAAATTACATTTTTTAAAAAATACATTGAATCAGAGCCATTAATTTTGTGATAAATTTGGGATTAGTATGACATGAAATTTTTGTCTATTTCTTATTTAAAGAGGGGTACTGCAACTAAAAACAGTTTTAAAAAATAACGCTAATATATCTAGGAGTTTTATGCCCCTTCCCATGATTTTGCTATGATGTTCTCTTCGCCTAACATACATATCTATCTATCTATCTATCTATCTATCTATCTACATGGATGTATTACCTGGAGCATCAAGAGGCACACATAGGAGTGATTTATTCTTGTGTGCAGGGCCTTCACCAGTGTTGGCCAGGAGACATATCCAATCTGCTTGATGGCCATTGGTGATCCATACCTTATTACCATTGATTACATAATCATCACCCTTCTTCTCAGCTTTCGTCTGAATATCTGAGATGAGGTGAAAAGCAAAAAAAGTTAATAAATATCAAAGGGATACTGGTACTGATATTTTCCTCCTTCCATTCCTTTTACCCAGTTTCCATCTTCTTGGTGATTTTGTTCCAATTTTCATTATTCTTTCAGGATATAAGATTTGATTCATATGGGACCTCTTTCATCACAATACAAAGGATACATGTTCTTTTATAATACAAAAATATGGTGGCATATATATGGAGTCTTTTTCAGGTTTTGTTTTTAATTACAAATTGAAATTACTCCCAAGAAGCTTGACATTCATTCATTCAATCGTGTTCCGTTATGAGATGTAGAAAAAATAGTTGATGCAAGATAATTCAAAAAGAGGAAGTTACAGCCTTCATGAATGAAGTAAATGAGTGAAAAAGAAAGAGAGTTTGGGGATAATCGGATTAAGAGTTGTGATGTTATTTGTCACAAGAGTGTGGTATGACCTCAAATCACCTTTGACCTTGGCATGCAAACTTTAAGAGCACTATAATGTTAAGGTCACCCAAGTGCATCTCTGTACCAAGTTTGGTCACATTAGGATAAACAGGTAAAAATTTATTTGTCACAAGAGAATCTTGTAGGCAAACTTGAACACATGACCTTAATGACCTTTGCATGTGACCAATGACAGAATCAGAGTGTAGTAGTTCTCCAAGTGAACCTGTGACTCAAGTTTTGTCACAATAGGATTGACAGTTGCAAATTAACTTGTCAAAAGAAAATCTTGCTAGTAAACTTTAACATTTTATGACGGACTACAGATGGACAGACGGACGGATGCCATTTGAATCCCTTATTCCTTCATTTGAAAAGGTGAGAAGAGATGAGAAGATACCACTAGAAGGAGAAGTGAGAATAAAACCATAAATACTCACTCGCTACATCTGATCCTGCTCCTGGCTCACTCACTCCAAGACACACTACCATATCACCGGCTATGGTAGGAGCTAAAAACTTCCTCTTTAACTCGTCTGATCCAAATCTAAATGCAAGAAAACAAGAGTAAAAATTATGGAATGAATGGCTAAAACTTCAAAGGAATTTCAATATCAGAATATGTATTTATATGAAATTCTTTATCAGTTATACTTGATCTTTACAAAATATTTGGTGATTGCTAGGGAGTAGGGACGATGGTTTCAATGCAAATAAGACTCCCTTCGATTCCTAAAGTTGCAAAAGCTTTGAGGGTAAAGATCCTTTGCTCACGTGTGTCCTACCTTATGGAATAGCCTTCTAAAGACATCAACAAGTGTAAACCTCAGATTCCTTTAAAACGCTTCTGTTTAATTCTTAATTATTTCTACATGTACATGTGCGTTGAGCACTCCACAGAGTGGATTTGGCGCCATATAAGTTACATCTATTATTATTACAATTATACAGGCTAACATCAAGTTTGAAGTTCGTGATGACAGGGCTGAAACCCTGAGATTCCACGAAAATTGACCTCTCTGACCATTGACATATCAGTTGTTTACCCCAAAATCTAATCATGGCGATACAGACTATCACCAAGTGTGAAGTTTATACCTCCACTGCTTATTGAGATATCAGGATACCGGTAACAAGAAAGTGGGTGGGACAGACAGATAATAATCTTTAATAAAAAAACACATAAAGTGACAAATAACTCAAAGACATATAGCACCACCTTTAGAGGACGGAGGCATAAACAACTAGGTATGTGGTGTAGATTCATGTAAATATCTTCAGTGACTGAGCATGATACTTATAGTTTGATCCAATGTTTATTTAATAACAACACATAACATTTTCTTAATAACTATCAAATAAATTGAGGTAAATTTTCTTAAATAACAAACATAAAGTAACATGAAGTGTAAACATTATAATACATGTGGCAAATATGAAAGGGTACCTGAGCAAGAATTCTACCCCATGTAAAACCTTTGATCCATGTTTATCATCAATTAGCTTATCTGTAGGCTGCACATTCAAAGTGCAACCACTTCAAGATCTATTTAAAAGCCATGCATGCTTTTAAATAGATCTTGAAGTGGTTGCATTTCGAGTGTGCGGCCTACAGATGAGCTCTCTCTTGTTTTTATAAAATTATACAGCAAAAAGTTTGATTTATTCTTACACTAAATATTTTGAAGCTTCACCCTCCCCCCCCCCCCCAAAAAAAAAAAAAATAAATAAATTAAAAAAATAATAACATTTCTTTGAAATCTATTGGAAATCAATGACATAGTGGGCTACTCGAGGTATTTGATGTGAATGCTAACAGTACCTGGCAAGAGCAGGGGTTGCCATGTCAGTTTGAACACCCACAGCCATAGGGATGCCTCCACAGCGGATACTCCCAAGCTCCTCTGCAAAGGCTACACAATACGTGTAATCCAACCCTAGGCCACCAAACTCTACAAAGATGAGAAAATATCATTTGATACAATATGTAAGAGTAACAACAAAACCATTGAAAACAAATTATGCTTAACATAAATTTCATTTCTTTTCAATATACTATGTACAATGTACATGTTCACAGAAAATAAAATACAGTTTTACTTTTGAAGTATAACAAAGGTGAAATATGACTCATGTACGCACTTCATATCTTGATATCATACAAATAGCCCGTAGAAAATACTATACAGTTACAACAGTTTGCGGCATTCTTGATAAGCAAAGGTTATCTCTTTTTTTTCTTTCAATTCAATTCAATTAAAAATTAAATTGATACAAAAGATACAAAATAATTCAAAAAACAAATTTAGAAAATTAAATGGGGAACCCCAGGCCTTGTAAAAGCGAAGTTTTCAAAGCATTCATAGCATATTTTAAAGCAAAGATAACAAACAAACAAAACAACAACAAAAAAATGGAGTAATAGTACAAATAAAAAATAACAAGAGGTTGCAATTTTCTAAACATTGGAGCAGAATGGGCACGATAATGACATCCCAGGCATACAGTTTGTAGTATGCGAAAGGCTTTTTACTTTTGCAATTTAAATAATTTATTTAATTTAGTTCGACTACAATTACCCCAAACAGCAACACAATAATTTAAATATGAGAGCATGCATGACTTATATACAGTGTAGTAGTATTAATGCTGAAGGTGGAAGCGAGTCTTTTAATCTGTATAATATACCCATACATTTACCGGTAGATACCTTTTGAGTGATTTTATTGACAATGAGTGTCTCATATTCTTTGTACATGATTCATGTCACTTGATCCCTACAAAGTTCAAACACCCTTAGAACGATTGCAACTTTTTTAACTTTCTTATCTTGTTTTCTTAAGGATTAAATATTTCTTTAATATATTTCTTGAATAAACATATTGTACATACATGTACATTAGCTGTAATGATCATTGATCAGCAGCCTTCTAATAAGTACAATGTGTTAGCTTCATGAATAATAATAATAATATTTAATTTTTATATAGCGCTTAATATACAAATGTCTCTAAGCGCTTTACAAATATACTATTACCCCGGTCATTGGATTCAGTGCTTGCCCGCACACAATGTGTGCACAATCTCCACTCCCTGGGGAGCATTCCAGCCCGACATTACATGACACTCTAAAACTGTTTGACCAACAATGATGGTCGCATCCTAACCAGGTACCCATTTAACACCTGGGTGGAGAGTAGCAATTGCAGGTTAATATCTTGCCAAAGGATATTAGTGCCGTGTCGGGATTCGAACCCTCCACCTTCGCATTTCCAAGTCAAGCGCCTTAAACCACTGGACCACGACACTCCTGCATGACGAATGATGCTAAGCCCCCCCCCCCCCCCCACCCCTCTCCCCCTCTCCCCGAAAAAAAGGAGAAGAAACCATTCTTCCAATGATATGGATAATTATGTTAAAAAGCTCAAACATACCTGTAGGCCGCCCAATCCCAAGAAAACCGGCTTCTCCAAGTTTCTTCATAACCTGATGTGCAGGAAACTGTTTCTCTGCTTCCCACTGGTCTACATAAGGGTTAATCTCCTTGTCTATCAGCTGTATTATGCAAGGTGAGAAGAAGAAAAAAGGTAATCATTATGGATGAGTTAGAATTCTGTAATTGTATAGAAAAATAAAAAATTACCCCCCCCCCTCCTAACAAAAAAATAATTAAAAAAAATAATATAATAATAAAACAAAAAATCACAATCACGATGCAACTAAAACATTGTGAAATACCAAAGAAGTAAAAGGGGTTATATCAGCCCTCTACCATTTAGTAAAAGGTACAAAAAAACTTGAGTCCTCCTCATGAATGTGACAAACTTGTTAGAGCTATTAAACTATTAAACAGATAATATGTTCATTGTAGATATCCATTTTTCTGGTCTTAATTGGCATACTCCAGCAACTAGAAAATATTAAATGGAGGGGGGAGGTCTCTTTTACTCTGAGGTCCTTTCCAGTTCCTCTCTTTCCAAGTCAATGAGTTTTCCCTTCTTTATTTTTTTAAAAGTCCAAGTCCACTCTAAAAATAACTTACTTTCAATAGAAGCAGAAAAATCAGACAAACCAAATAAAAAAAGTTTGAGCAAAATCTGATAAATTTTTGTAAAACTATGGAACAATGGAAATCACTACACAAATTGCCAATTTGGTTATCAGTTTGTGACGTCATGTCCTCACTATTTGTCAATTGCTTTATATACATGTAGTTTAATCCTAATTACTTCCCTTTTTATCCTCCGAAACTTGATTTCCTCATGCCTTTGGCCGGGTCATATGATTTGTATGATATTGGGTGCAGAACATTTCACAAAATATGGCTATGGGGGTCAAACCAAAGCAAAATTGACATAAAAATTGTCCTCTATCTACAACGTACATGTTTATCCTAATGTCCATTTTGTAAAAATCTGTATTTAAAAAGATTGTTGTTAGAAATAGAAATTAGAAAAAGTGTATACTATTATCAACGTTTTTCCGAAAAATATTTAAAAAATAACAAGAAAATTGACACAAAATAGGTAGGTAATCTAATCATAATGACTTTTAACTCATGATCTTTATTTGGACATTTAAAGGTACTATGTCCCATTTGCAGGCCAAAAAAATGAAAAGGTTAAATTCCAATGGCATTTGAAATATAATACTAGAACTTCCCTAAAAGAAGGTGGGGCTTAAAAATGTCTTCAAGTGGGAAAATAACGACTATTAGTTGTCAAATCGACTTAGGGGCTATAGACCCTAGAGCCAATAATATATACCTTGAATACCTTGAATACCAAAGCTTCTGGAAGAAAGCCGTCTCCAGCTGCCAAGCTTCCAGGTCTAACTTCAAGGGGGGGGGGGGGATGTCCCAGCTTCCGGGTCTTGCACCATAGTCATTTTACATCTGTATCTTGCTTGCTGGGTCATATCAGGATTGTCATAACTGGAGTGTCAACTGGGAGAAGGGTGAATGATATTGCTCCTTCTTCCAGTGTTTGTCAAGTCTGGCTTTAAAGCTGTTTACCGAGGTTGCAGATACTACCAACTCAGGGAGGGAGTTCCAGTCGTTGAGGACCCTGTGGCTAAATGAGTCTTGCCTGAGTTTGGTGTTGCACCTGGGTTTGGTCAGTTTGAAAGCATGCCCTCTCGTTGTTGAATTGATTGCAGGTGTGAAGAATTGGGTAGAGTCCAACCTGTCAATGTTCTGCATCAACTTGAACACCTGAATCATGTCTCCTCGGCGGCGGCGGTGGCTAAGTGAGGGAAGTTTCAAACTCTCAAGTCTCTCATGATAGCTTTGGAGTTTTATCTCTGGTACCATTTTTGTTGCTCTTTTTTGTACCTTCTCTATGATTTTTTCGTCCTTCACATAGCGAGGGTGCCAGATTACATTGCCATATTCCAATATGGGACGAACAAGACCTTTATAGAGGAGTGGAATTGTTGATCTGTCCTTGCAAGTGAAAGATCTACGTATGCGAGCTAGTACTCCATTTGCTTTTCTAGCAGCAATTGCAGATTGTTGATGAAATCTGAGCTTCTCGTCAATGACAACTCCAAGGTCCTTTTCTTCTTTGGTTTCTGGGATCTTTACACTGTCTAGCTCATATTCCCTCCGTGGATTGCCTGCCCCTAGGTGCAGGGTCTTGCATTTCTTTGCATTGAAGTGGAGCTGCCATTTCTCTGACCATCCCTCAAGTTTCTGTACGTCTCTCTGCAGGGTGGTGTAGTCTTCCTCAGACGTAGCTTTGCCATACAGTTTGGTGTCATCTGCAAAGATTTTGACTGCTGCCTCAATCTCGTCAGGAAGGTCATTTATGTAGATGACAAATAGAAGAGGTCCGAGCACGCTCCCTTGCGGTACTCCACTGGTGACTGGGGTCCAATCTGACATGTTGTGGTTCACAACCACTCTCTGCTTCCGTTCAGTGAGGAAGTCTTGGATCCACGTTCTGATAGGACCAGAGATTCCATAGGCCTCGAGCTTGTGTATTAGACGCTGGTGTGGAACGGAGTCAAAAGCCTTACTAAAATCAAGGTAGACTACGTCAATGGACTCCCCCTTGTTGATCAAGTCCGTCCATGCTTCCATAGCACACAGCAGTTGAGTCATACAGGACCTCCCAGGGACGAATCCATGCTGATGGTCACTGAATAGGTCATTGGTCAGCATATGGTCAGATACTTCATCTCTGATCAGAGATTCCATGAGTTTGCAACAGACAGAGGTGAGACTTATTGGTCTGTAGTTGCTAGGATCTTTCTTGCAGCCTTTCTTGAAAACTGGAGCAACATTGCTTTGCTTCCATCTAGTTGGTAGTTTACCTTCTTCCAAGGACTTGTTGTAAATTATGGAGAGAGGAAGACAGGTTGCTGGGGCTGTTTCACGGAGTAGGCATGGATGTAAGTTGTCCGGTCCGGCACTCTTATATTTTGACAAGTTTTTAAGCTTGCGTAAAACATTATCTGGGGTAATAGTGACAGTCTCTACTGGTTCTCCTTGGTATTTGCTGTCAAGAGTGGGAATATGTTCTTTGTCCTCATTAGTGAATGTCGTTGCAAAATATTTGCACAGAATATCTGCCTTCTCTTTGTCGTTACTGGTCACTTGACTATCTTCTTTCATTAAGTCTCCAATCTGGCTCCGTGAGTTTAATCTCCCATTCGTGTATTTCCAGAAGGCTTTGGGGTTGGTTTTGATATTTTTGGCAATATCTCTCTCAAAGTCTAAGCAGAGCTTCTTGGTTAAGTGTCGCAAGTCCTTGGCTTCCTTGTTTGCAGTCACCTTATCTTCCATTCTGCCCGTTGCAATGTAGTTGGTCCATGCTTTTGCTTTCCTCTTCTGTTTTCTCATGGCAAATTTTGTCATCCATGCATGCTTCTTCTTCCTTCTGTTTGCCCTTGTTGTAGGAATATGTTTCTGCATCTGGACAGTCAAAAGGCTCTCTAGGAACTCCCAAGCCTCGTTTGTTGAAAGGTCACCTAACTCGCTTTCCCAGTCGACCTCATTCAGTTCATTCACTATTTCCTTGTACTTCCCTCTATGGTACTGTGGTCTTGGTGAATGACCACTTCCTTTGTCAGGGTAGTAATACCGGTAGTCTTGATTTTCAGACGGTCATACGTTTTATGCTGTGCAAAGATTCAATCAGTTTAATTTTTGGCCATCACAAGAAGTGGGTTATTGATGTAGACAAATGCTCATGTACGCTTTATAGCTCATTTTATGTACCCTATGTTATTACCAAAGAAGAAAAAAAGCCAGTCAGTCACTCAATCAATAGTGTCTGACAGTGAAGTCTAGCAAGTAAACAGGTTTCCTTGCATAATTTGAAAATTAGGACACTGCTAACGTTTAAATTTCACAGATTGGACATAGCTAGGGGTCTACATGACATATTCATAATTCCTGCAAAGTAATACAGAATTTGAGGTTGGCTGCAAAAGGGACATAGTCTAGTAGATCTAGACCCTAGTAGACCTACTAGTAGTAGGCTAGTAGATATCTAGAAATTCTAGACTATTTTACTTCATTTTGGGTAGATCTAGACGAGTAGTCTAAGTAATATGTTTTAGTATCTCCACGCCGGAGTTACGGGTCAAATTTTGGATAGGGGTCTAGTTTTCTGAACAAGCGCCTTTTGAAACTAGATCTAGACCCTAGCTACTAGCCTACTAGTTCTGACATTTAGAAATGCCAGCTAGACTAGGTCTCTAGTCTAGACCTAGATCTAATTGAGATTTTAGATTTCGGTACCGGCCTCCTCCTCCCTAACAGTAACAGTTAGTACTTCAGACTGTTCAGTGCCAACTTTTTTTCTCCAGTTTATTTCTCTAGTCTAGTACTTAGATCTAGGCCTAGACTACTCTACATCACCTTTTTGAGCGCTTTCCTCATTTCCATATGTTCCTCTGTGTAGATTATGTCCACACTTCCAATCGTCCCAGCACTAGCAGCTGAAGAATTAGGGATTGGTTCAGAACTCAGAGCGCGTCGGCCAAGCCTTGACCGTGACGGAGCTCCCCGTTCTCTCACTCCAGCTCTCAACGGTATTCGTGAAACTAAACGAAACATTTTAGATCTAGGATCTACTTAGACTAGTCTAGACTCTAGTACAGTTTGAGTTAGAACCAGTGCCAGTGGAACCCAAGCTGATATCAGGAACTAGGTAGAGAACACCAACGTCGAGGTTGACTTCCATAAACCACGTATCCTGAGCTGAGCTGAGCTGAGTGTCGTACAACAAGTACCGGTACACATGCACTGTCGTATGTCGACTGTGTTGTGTTTACAGCTAGCTCTAGCTCTCAGAGATTGAGATTTTGTCATGATTATGAAACTAGCGACCAATAAGGAGGAAGCCAGTAACTCGATGTTGTTGTTGTTGTTGTTGTGTTTTGAGTTATTGGCGATTAGTCAATGATTTGACTATTGTCGCCAAAATACTTTACGGCACGTGTTATATCTCTCAATTTTGGATTTTTTTAAAAATATATTTATTTCGTTTTATATTTATCTATCTTTTAAGAAAGTATCATAAAATAATATCGTAAGCAAAACATTCATGGGCTTTGTTAGTGTTTCTTAACAGTACGTGCAGATTATTTGTTATATCATACACACCATACATAAATATGTATATAAGATAGCACCTACACAAGCTTCTATATTCAGTAATCTTATCATACCTTTTATCATTGTTGTTACTTTTTCTATTTTCGATGCGAATAATATGGTATCTTTAAATGACAAAAGTCACAGGCAAGGTTGCATACAGGCTAGGTTATATGATGTGGCAACCTAGTGTTCGACCACACGCAACGACTAAATTTCAGGAGCTTAGGCATCGTGTTACACTTAAGATCTTTACTTAAAGATAAACTCCAGTACTGGTAAAAAAAAAAAAAAAAAAATTCTCACAGAATCAAACGAAACTTACACTAAATGTTCAAGATTACAAATAATTGACATGTGCCAAACAATTTTGGAAGAAAATGTATACTGGCTGAGTAATGAGCATAGAAAAACAAGGAAATCAAGGTAGTAGCCCCGACACCATGTGTGTTGTCCCATATATAGCTTTCTATGTGAGTGTTTGTTACTTTACCAAGACTCGGTCAAATTTATTATGATTTTGATGACTCCAGAACCTTGCAGTGCACACCAATACTTATATGCTACATGATCAACTGTTTCTGATCCTTTCCACACCTTTTCTTTCACAATGCAATCGCATTACCAGTACTAAAGTTTAGCTTTAAGTGTAACATGGTTTTAAAGTGTAACACGGTGTCTAAGCTTCTGAAAAATTAGTCGCTGTGCACAGCGCTTTGGCATAATACATCTAGCTACGTGTATTACTATGAATATGACGGACAAAGAAAGCGGACAAAATATACAGTTCCTCAGGTACATAAAGGAACATCCCTTCACTACTATTATGTAAAAAGGTGATCATGCATGTGACACATGTTCTACACATTTTTACATAATAGCAGTGAAGGGATGTTCCTTTGTCTACCTGAGGAACTGTATATTTTGTCAGCTTTCTAGTCATGTTCATAGTGCATGCTGCTCGCTCGAGCTAACTTACTGTGTCATAATGTTTCACCGAATATAACTAATCAATATAATAAGGTGGAAGGGGAACAACAAAAAAGGAAACTTTCTGGAGAAAAGGGGCACATACAAAGAGAAATTTCAAAGCGATACACAATCACAACAATGAGGGATGATTTCAATATTTGTTTCTTCCTTTAACATGCATGGTCCAATTAGCTGTTTAAGCATCATTTTACTTTGCAGTTGAATGTGATACTAGTAGTCTGAAATGAATATTCACTTGCATGGAAGCAAAAGTTTCAAGATTTGTGAGGTCGCAGCGCGAAAAATTACAGCTTATAAAGAAGAAAAATCCCAATTAAATCCTGATAGGATTTTAAGCACGATCTAATCATGAAAGACTGAAGATATAGGCCTAGTTGATAATTAACATAATTGTATGATCAGCTATAAATTCGAGCGAGCGTAACCACAAGCTTGGGGGAGGGGAGGGGGTTAAAGAAAAAGAGTTGCTCTTAGTCGATTCAAAATTAGGGGCACATGTTGTGGAGAAATGAAAAGAGAGCACTTTTCAGAAAGGAAAAGGACATTTATTACAAAAGAAAAGGAACATGTGTCAAAGCAAAAATGGCAGTAATCAATGGTGCAAATAGGGCAATTCTCGAACCTGAAAAGGGGCACTCACCAGAGATTTGTTTAAAGGCACTAATAATAATAGAAAGTAGGCATTTGTCCAATGAAAAGGGGAACCTATAGGTTTTATTAGGGGCATTTATCAAAGGTGAAAAGAGGCATTCATGAAAAGGGGAGGGGCTGTTATAAAAAAAAAAAAGGAAAGGGGCACCCATCAGGAATAAAAGGGTGCTTACAAGAAAGGAAAAGGAGGCATTTGTCATAGGGGCATTTATGAGAAAGGGAAGGGGCTCTTATTAAAAAGGGAAAGGGCACATATCAAAAGGTAAAAGGGCACTTATTAGAAATTATAAGGGAACGCGTGTTAAAGTAAAAACAAAAATTAAAAAAGGCTATTATCAGATATCACGAGGGGGACTTATGAAAATGGAACAGTGGCACTTGTTATAGAGGAAAAGGGGCATTTGTTGAAGAAAAAGGGGCACCTGTCAGATTTGTATAGGAGGTAATTATCGCAGGTGGTAAGAGGCACTTAAAAAAATGTGAAGAATGCGTTTTCTCTCGAGTTTGTCTCATCATCATGCGTGGGATCTGTGGGTGCTGGGGTCCCTGCAGCAACCCTTTACATGGATTTTTTCTTCATTGGGTGCATATAACCCATGGAAATTTGTGTAAACCTTTAAATGATGATTTAATTATCATCGAGCCCCTCTTCCCTCCCCCCCCCCCCTCATTATTTTGTCAGTTCGTGACAAACATAATTACAATCCAGATGAAATTCGCGATGATTATAATCTTCGGCCTTCTCCACTTGAATCTCTCTCTATCTCTCCAGTGGCGGATATACGGGGGAGAGGGTAGGGGGTTCCCCATGTGCTGCCAAGGGAAACTGTGATGTGCATAAACAAAAGCCATCATGTGTCCAGACCCACACAGTAAGATGTTAGTAGATGCCAGGAAACATCACGTATATGCAGGGGCGTCTCTAAAGAGGGGGGGGGGTGTGGGGGGCCCCCACCTGTCAGGATATTGTCGGTAAAATTGCGCTGCCGTCGGGTAAAAAGAGAAAAGGGGGAGGGAAAAAAAGAGAGGGAAAGGGTAAGAAAGAAAAAAAAGGAGAGAAAAGAAAGAAAGGAAAAGGAAGAAAAGAGGAGGGAATAAAGAAAGAGAAAAAAAGAAAAAAAGGGAGGAGAGGAAAAGAACGAAAAGAAGAAAAAAAGGAGAAAAGGAAGACAGAGAAGAAAAGAGAGAAAAAGGAAAGAGGGGAGAGAGAGAGAGGGGGAGGTAGGAGCCTGAGACAGGAGGGGTGGGAGTAAAAAAGAGAGGGGGTAGTTGGGTGGAGTCGTCTCGGCGATGAAGCAAAGAAGACACGCATAAATATGTTGCTGTGTCGGGTCAGCTGTGTCGGTATAACTGAATTCAGATATGGATAAAGAGTCGAGAATAGTACAACGAATCGTCTGCTTTCTCTCATAATTAATGGAAACGTCAAAGTTTCCGCGCTTCGTGCGGGAGGGGAAAACTGAATTCAGACAATTAGGGTTAGAAGTCGTGAACGGTACAACGATTCATCTTCTTTCTATAATAATTCAATGAAGTGTCAAAGTTTTCGCGCGAAGCGCGGAAGGGGGGGAACTGAATTCAGATAAGGATAAAGATTCGAGAACAGTACAACAAATCGTCTGCTTTCTCTCATAATTTAAGGAAACGTCAAAGCTTCCGCGCTTCGTGCGGGAGGGGAAAACTGAATTCAGACAATAGGGTTAAGAGTCGTGAACGGTACAAAGAATCGTCTTCTTTCTCTAATAATTTAAAGAAACGTCTAAGCTTTCGCGCTTCGCGCAGGAGGGGGGGAACTGAATTCAGACAAGGATTAAAAGTATAGAACAGTAGTACGAATCTTCTGCTTTCTCTAATAATTTAATGAAACGTCAAATTGAATTCAGATAAGGATAAGGGTTGAGAACAGTACAACAAATCGTCTGCTTTCTCTCATAATTTATGAAACGTCAAAGCTTCCGCTCTTCGCGCGGGAGCGGGGGAGGGAACTGAATTCAGACAACTAGGGTTAAGAATCGAGAACGGTACAACAAATCGTCTTCTTTCTATAATAATTTAATAAAACGTCAAAGCTTCCGCGCTTCGCGCGGGAGGGTGAAAACAGAATTCAGACAATTAGGGTTACGAGTCGCGAACGGTAAATGAATCGTCTTTTTTCTATATTAATTTAATGAAACGTCAAAGCTTCCGCGCTTTGCGCGGGAGGGGGAAAATTTCATTCAGACAAGGATTAAGAGTCGACAACGGTTCTCCGAATGGTCTTCTTTCTCTAATAATTTAATGAAACGTCTAAGCTTCCCTAAAATAAGATCCTATCTACGCGCCTGCATTTAAATATATAGCTATGATCAGTGGCGGGTCCAGGGGGGCACAGGGGGCACGTGCCCCCCCCCCCCCCCCGCCAAAAAAAAAGAAAAGGAGAAAAAGGAGGGGGAAAGAAAAAGGAGAGGAAAAAGAAAAAAAGGGAATAGAGAATGAAGAAGAAAAGAGGGAGGAAAGAAAAGGGAGAGGAGAAAAAGGAGGAGGAAGAAAAAAGGGAAAGAAAGAGGAGAGAAAAGGTGGAAAAAGAAGAAAGGCGGAAAGACGGAGGAGAGAAAAGGGGGAAAAGGAGAATAATGAGAAGGGAAAAGAAAGAAAGGGGGATGATATTATAAGAAGGTGTTTTTTTTACCGGGTAAGGGGCGGGGGGGGGGGGGGCATGCAATTTCAAGTCGAACATGACTAATACCAAAGATTTTATCTCCTTTATAACTTATAACTTAGCCTTGAATTAATTTTCCGATATTCCTATTCTAAGTGCTCTTTCAGCATGCAGATTGTCCCCGC